AAAGATATATAACACTATTTCCTTGAATACTTAATCTCATTTATCGATGAAGTTTGTGATAAAGAGGCATTACAAATACAAAAAATGTTGGAAAGGTAGTGGATGATAAGACGTCAGCTTCAGGCGAAGTATTTGTATAATCCTATATGTTTGTATGTGAAACAAATGCAAAGAATCACATACAATGTGTACATGTACCTTTTCACATTTTTTTTGACTGGTCAAAAAAGTATGTCCCACTATTTTGCTCCACATTTTTTAAATGTTGTAAGATGAAGCACCAAGTGTATCACTGACAACCTCTGCACTAAAACTAAAACAAATATTTTAGAGAACAGAAGAGAAAGAGTAAAATTTATCACGTATGCTTAACCCTGGTTATTATCTATATTTACAGGGAACTTTATTAATCATTGGGTTCCTTGTAGGAGTTTACGTTCTTCTGTCAATTTAATCAAAAGTATATTTGTGGTCGTAAATTTTTTTATGGGAAAAGACAATAGAATATCATAGTACCAATGAAAATAATAAAATATAATAGATTTAGAATTTCATCAAGAGCATTTTTCACTTGCATTCAAGTCTTAATTTAACATTAAGTCAAATATTTTCAAAAGAAAATGAATTTCAAATTCCCATTCATCATTGATTATTTATTTTTCCTAGTTTAAATAAAATCTAATATAGAGGTTATAGAAGTTATTAATATCTTTTATTGACTTTTCGCCGTGTTCAGTTCAATGGCGCACACGTAGTTGTCTCTTTATGACCCTATCCAAGGAAATGATATTTATTTAGATGATATCCATAAAGTGGCACACTTACTGAATGCCAATAACCAATATAATATATCCTCCATGCGATGCTGGCAGTGATGTAATCCTTTTTTATTATTCTAATACACTAGATCTTATTTATTGGCTCTTCAATATATTCAAATTTCGTGCTGAAATTTTGTTGAAAATATATGCGCGGAGACAAATTTAATCGTTCGTGAAATTTACCTCTTCTGAATCGGAGGCATGCTGACTGTAAAGTGTCAGATTTTAATTTGGACAAAACTTTTCTTTTTAATGTCTCCTGTATATTCTGGAGGAGGTATGTAATTGCTTTTAAATAATGTTTAAAAGATTTCAGAACACTAAATTAATATATATTATTAATTAAAAGGAAAGTATTAATTTGTACAGTTTAAGTCTATCTCTGCAAAGCTAATAAAGCTAATTAATGATTTGATTAACATCCCAATGATTAAAATAAGAAATGAATGAGAAAGAAGTGATAAAATTTAATTAGTCGATCTGTTTGTATTTCAGGTTATGCATTTACCGTGTGTCTGTCTTTCTTCATAGCTCTTTAAAGTACTTAACTGTTTTATATCATTAATGATATCACTTGAAAGTTGTATTCATTTCTGAGTGTCTCTCTCAATATGCAAAAGAAAAAAAAAACAAACATTTTTTTTCGACGAGTTAACACATACATATTGATAAGTTCCCCTTTTTCTTTGATAATTTCAAATGTTAATAAAAAATGTAACTAATCAGTAAATCAAGGGGAAGCATGTTATTATCGATTAAAAATAGTTGCTTCCGTTCATATGATATATCCCAGAGAACCAGAGATAAAAGAGTCTACCACATCTGTTTCATATCTGGATGTTTTACTATAGACGATAAAGACAATCTAATAACTAAATTGTGACAATCGAGATGACGTCAGCCTTTCCATCGTCAACTTCTATTTATGTAGTAATCTCCCACTATCACCTTCACATGGGGTTTACATCTAGCTTGTTTGATTCTGAAAAGCATGCTCCGAATACAATCAATATTTAAACCGAGGCAGTCCACGGACAGATAAGTTGAATTTACAGAGATTTCTGCAATCTCGTTTTAAGTCAGATTTTCGTAAATTCTATGGTCGTCATAATGACCTGTCATTGGGCCGTATGTTATTAGATGACGTGTTTCATACCATTGTTAGACTGTTTTCTGAATTTGACTACGTATTGTTCCGTCTATCTGATCTATACAGTCATAGAGCCCACGGCGGGTGAGGCCGGTTAACAGGGGATTCTTATACCTCCTAGGTACCTGATCCCACCTCTGGAATTTCCAGGGGTCCGTGTTTTATGCGCTGTTCACAAATTTGCATTTATTATAGATTATCTTGAGATCGATCTCTGCTCGTTATCTTCATCTTGTCATTCATAAAAGCAACGTTGCTACTCTTTGGCTATCCGAAGTATGTGTACCCTACACGTTACAATTCAGACAGCATTGTCTTTCTTTTGAGTGTCTGAATCTACATATCAATTAGTGGAGGAATTAAGAATGTCTGTAAGTAGAAGAAGTAGAAAAGATTAGTCGTATAGAATATGAAGATACATTGGGTTTAGTGCAGATTCGTAAGCTTTATATATTTAGAAGTAATTAAACAACAAAGCATACATATATTAAAGCCAAAGAAAGCTGATACTTCATTACAGATTTATGGTCAATCCCGAGGCAACTTCAAATATTCGCAAGTGAGTACTAAGTATGTAAGGAATTTCGACAGATCCAGTGGCAAGAAAATTTATTTAAATTTACAGGGGGTAATATTTAAAAAAGTTCAATATTTGTGACTTGGATTTTTTTGTATGTTATTTTTTAATAGTAAAATGTGGGACTATGTACCTAATTTTTAAGTGTATGCTAAATTTGACAGCTAATGAGTGGAGTCATACATGTATACCTGATTTTAAAGATGAAAAGTAAAGGTAACGAATAACGATCATTCTCAAAAGTCCATTTAAACGAAACAAATAAAGAGTAGAGCCAACAAGACCTCTGAAAAAAAGAAATGGGTTCAGCTACCATATGCATCAATAAATCACGCCCGTTGTGTGCTTCTCATCATGATCGGGAAAACGGAAAAATCTGTTGTCAATTCAGCGTGAAATTAATGGCCTAACGATATGCATTTAAAAAGTCAGTCAACTATCACTTAACGACAAAATATATTCGCAAAAAGATCACTGTATCGACCATAGAATTTGCAAAATGTTGATATTAAATGAGACTGTTTATATAAATGTATTTGTGTCATCAACTTATTTTTCACTAGGCTGTCTGACTTTAGAAATTGATTGTTCGTAGAAAATCTCTTGTGTATTGAAATAGCTGTGAGACATAAACTCCATATGCAGATGATAATAGTATATTGCTACATAAAGAAAGGACTTTGATGAAAGAAAAGTGGAAGTCATCACGTTTATCATAATAGTTGTCAGTTTGCCACCAACGCCTTTCTCAAGTAAAACTTCCCCATATGAAACACATTGGTCAGACTATGTGTCTTTTATTTCTTTTATTATCTTTGATTTCGAGGTCAATGAAATATATCGAAAAGACGTAGGAATGAAAATAAATGCATGTAATGTTTATTGATAAAACATCGTAGATATATCTGTATTTCAAACTGAATGCCACTGCAAGACACTTACTTTTTCATGTAAAAGTAAAACGATAACTAATAAATACATGAAAGACCAGCCTATTTTACATCATAAACAACTGTTTCTTCAATAAAAATGCAACTCGGAAATTTTCATATCTTCACATCAAACCAACTATTATCAGCAACATCTTTTATTCGCGATTCGTTCGTTTGAAATCCATCCTCGACCATTAGTTTTCGCAATCGAGGAACATTTAGCAAAAACGTACACGTAAGTAATAAAGATATATACACGAACTTGCGGATATTTCTTGCGCGCGGAATAAAAGATGTTTTACAGTGTGTGCAAATCGAAAAGTTACTATGTAAAAAATCATTCGTTTTCTACTGACAAGTGTTCTGACGCTGATATTAAAAAGATGCCTTTTAGGAGCTTTGACAATAGCTATGTATTTTTTAGAAACCAGGTCTTCCAACTTTCTGTTGGAATTTTTTCCTCATCAGTTTTCCTTATTTATGCATTTACATGGTTATGTTGTTAATGTGTCCAAACTAATGCGATACTCAAAAGCATGTCTACCAATTTATTTGACATGCAAGAGCATGCTCTGAGAAGGATCAATTGTTAAACCTAAGCAGGCTATTAACGAATAAGTTGATATTACACGGTTTTCAACGATCTCGTTTAAAATCAGTAATTTGCAAATCCTATGGTCGATACTGTGACCTTGTTTGCAAATGCATCCTACCATTGGGACGTATTTTGACTGACATGTTTCGTACCAATTGCTGGGCCATTTTAAATACATTTAGCTTGACTGCAGATTACTTCGTTTACCTGATCAATATCAAAGGCCTAGGCCGGTTTCACCGGTCAAGAGGGAATGATTACCTAATCTAGGCACCTGATGCCACATCTGGTTTTTCTAGGGTCCGTGTTTTTGCCCTGTTCATGATTAATTTTGTTTACAAGATTTATGAGATCAATCAATGGTCGTTATCTTCATCTGTTTAAATTTGATTTGACAGATAATGCCAGTGGGTCTATATACCCGATTTACAAGAACTTTTGTGGTACATGAACATGTAAAATGTTATTCCTGATGTTTACTTGTATGTTTAATTTTACAGGCAATGAGTGGGGTTATGTACCTGGAATTGGTAAGTATATTCTTGAATGAGGGTTAGAAAATCACCTTATATTCTGTTCAGTATATTTTACACTTTTTTAACATTTGTTTATTAATTTGAGTTATGAATTTTTGCAAAGATTGCACATCTTATGTAAAAGATCTAAAAATCTATTGCTATTTAAAATGATAGAAAAATAAGTTCCTCCTTAAAAAAAAGTATGTATTTTAATACTTTTGTGGTAAGGTACTAAAAAGATACCTCTGCTGAAAGAGGAAGTAATATTTTTTTTCGAAAGGAAATAAAGTTTAAGGTACATAATTTCTCAAATTTGAAACCATCCTTTTTATCAGAAAGTCATAAAAATTCAAGTGGAATATTCAGTAAACTGACTGTTAATTAAATAAACACCGCATATTTATATCATGTCACCTCAAAAAAGCAAGTGTATTCTTTTTTATGAAGGACCGTCCACCTGGGTTAAGGACTATCCTCAATGTGGGGGTACCAGCCAGTCTCCCATCTCTGTGGATACATCAAAGGTTGTCCTTGACACAAATCTAACAGCCTTCAACTTCATGGGCTACGACCAAATCAACAAGGTCAAGATGAGCATGAAAAACAATGGACATACAGGTAAGACGATTCCTGTATTTCATGATGCAGAATGTTTGCGGATGTAACGTCTTGATTTGTGTAACTTGTTTTTTTCCGTAGAATGCTGATTGAGGATAATCTTTTTCTTTGAATTTCAAAATAAAGCAGGCCGAATTTAGATCTTGAGGTCTCTTACTTAAAGAACAAGGTCATATCATTCAACGATATTGATTTTAGCTAAGTGCCAGTCCTTTATGGCTGTCAGTGTAATAATCTTTGAATGTAATATCTTTTATTCTTTCCTCTTGTAAATTTGCTATTTTGCGGATTATAGTACAAATAGACCTTATGGGTAATATGATGACGATATCACGTGGAGGTGTTAGCGACACATACTGGGCTAAGCAGTTTCACTTCCATTGGGGCTCTGAAGACAAGCGAGGCTCTGAACACGACATTAACAACCGACATTTCCCGATGGAGGTACTCAAAACATGCTTCGTAACAGTAACCAGACAATCATGATTAAAATTAAAAAAGATATCATGAAAAAAGACAAACAATTGTTCGACTATATCTAGCATATGAACCTTTTTAATATTTTTTTTAAAGATGCACGTTGTACACTACAATTCAAAGTACAACACTTTCGCTGACGCAATGAATCAAACAAATGGACTGCACGTGCTGGCGTTCTTATTTGAGGTCAAGTATTATATAAGTGAAATTCATAAGTAAAGTTACATACTGTGAAATCACTAATATTCGTGGGGGGTTGATTTTCGTTGTTTTCTTGGTATAAGATACCCACGAATTCACCCCCCCCCCCAACGAAATGTTAAAATCCCTTACTTCAGTGTTCAATGTGATGTTTCTCCCTTATCCACGAAATTAAATCCCCTTCAACCAGTCATTTGTCCTCAATCCACGGAAATTTAGACCCACGAAAATAAGTGATTTTACAGTAAGTGATATCCATTTACACTGTATATATTGTAACTAATGTACTATATCTTTGCTGATATTTCACATATATGATTTTACCCATACTTCGGCCTAACTTCCTTTATAGGTAGGGGCAGTTAACCACCATTTTGATGAAATCATTCGCCATTTTTACCAAATTGCCCATAAAGGTATTTTTCTCAATTTCCAAACATTTCTAAACAGTGTTTTTGAGTATAATCCTTGGACTTTTGATGAGAAAAAGTCACTACAATGTGTGTAATTTAGATGATCACGTTAATCTGACTACGTTTCCATTGGCTGAACTGTTTCCGGAAGACCTACAAGTTTACTACCGTTATCATGGTAGCCTAACCACTCCTCCTTGTTCTGAAAGTGTCATATGGACGATCTTTAAAGACACCATCAAAATTTCCGAGGATCAGGTTTGTATGAGTGCTTACTTTATATATCCTAATACTTTAATTAATAAATTCCTAAATGAAATGTATTTGAGGATACCCAGTGATTAGTTGATATATTTACCATTTCGTGCTCCTCGGATCTGTATCATTATTGTTGTCCGGTAGAGTCAAAGAAAAACACAAAAGTTTGTTTCACCGGATGTTATATATATTGATATTTTAGCTGATGAAATTCCGTCATAATGTCCACCGGAACTACGCTAATGAAGAAGATCGAGACATATCCAATGACTTCCGGCCAACGCAACCTCTAAATCACCGCCATGTTTACGCCAGCCACCCTAGTGCCATTTCAAGCTCCACAACATTGCACGATATTTGGTTTGATATATGTACACTTGTCAACATAATTATAGTAGTGAATTATATATATATACATTGTAAATGAAATTAAAATTGATGATATTGAAACAATATTATTGACAATTTGCCTATATATTAGATTTTGTATAAGTTATTGTTGATTTCAAAATCATAGGACATTTTAAGTTGTCACTTGTTTTTCTTATGTTTATCTCGTGCTTTATGAATGGTAATATGGCTATGCAAAAATGACTAGTCTATATTTATATGAAATATTTCTGTTCTTTTGTATGATACCTAATAATTGTCTTTTTACAATAAAGTGATGCAATGGCGACACTTACCTGTCCGGTGGTAGATATCATTTACTAAAGTTTTAATGCTATGACGACACTCACCTCTCTGGTGGTAGATATCATGTACTAAAGTATTGATGCAATGGCAACACTCACCTTTCAGGTATAGAAGATATCATGTACTTAAGTTGTTATGCCATGGCGGCACTCATCTGTCCGGAAGTAGATATCATGTACTTCCATTGTGATGCAATGGCGACACTCACTTGTCCGGTAGTAGATATCATGTCGTTAAGTTTTGATATAATGCCATCACTCACCTGTCCGGTAGTAGATATCATGTCGAAAAGTTTTGATGTTATGTCGACACTCACCCCTCCGGTAGAAGATATCATGTTGTAAATCTTTGAGGTAATGCCAATAATCACCTGTCCGGTACTAGATATCATGTAGTAAAGGTGTTATGCAATGACGACACTCACCTGCCCGGTAGTAATATCATGTACTAAAGGTCTGATGCAAGGACGATACTCATCTGTCCGGTGGTAGCTAGATACCATGTAGTAAGGTTGTGATGCAATGGCGACACCCACCTGTCCGTCGGTTGACATCATGTAATAATTTAAAAGTTGTGATGCAATGACAACACTCACCTGTCTGGTGGTAGATATCATGTACTAAAGTTTTGATCCAATGATGGCACTTACCTCTCTGGTGGTATCATTTACTAAAGCTCTGATGCAATGACGACACTTTCGGTGGTAGATATCATGTACTAAAGTTGTGATGCAATGACGACACCCACCTCTCTGGTGGTAGATATCATGTACTAAAGTTGTGATGCAATGACGACACTCACCTCTCTGGTGGTAGATATCATGTACTAAAGTTTTGATCCAATGACGACACTCACCTTTCCGGTGGTAGATATCATGTACTAAGGTTTGATGCAATGACGACACTCACCTGTCTAATGATAGAAACCTATTTATCATGTACTAAAGTTGCAATGACGACACTCACCTCTCATCATGTACTAAAGTTTTGATCCATTGACGACACTCAGCTGTGCGGTGGTTGATGTCATGAAGTAATGTTGTTGATACAGGTTTCTTTATAGTTTTGAAGATATATAATTCAATAAGTAGGTGTCACTAGGCAAAACACTAGATTAATAATAACTGATTAAGATATATATAGTTTTTGGCTGCTAGAAGGGTCTTATTTATTTACGTTTATTCTTTTGTCAGTCGGAAAGATTTGGCGACTCAGGTGAGAGTTTTGGCACTAATGCCTTGTGATTTGATTGATTTGTATATATATATATATATATATATATATATATATATATATATATATATATATATATATATATATATATATATATATATATATATATATATATATATATATATATATATATATATATATATATATGCATTCATGAATGCACATATGTGAAACATGTTTTACACTAATGTATGCTTCCCCATCTTAATTTTATGTTTAGTGCTAGGGTTTAGAATCAAACGAGGTTTTCCCAAAGACCGTCCTTTTTTGGTGACTGATTCCCCAACCAATGACCATACTCAACTTCACAGTTATACCTCCAGTCTTGCAAAGTTAGCTATCCTAGAGGACAATAGAAGAAAATAAACAATGAAGGTACAGAGTATATACTGAACATCTTATTCCCTTATGATGTTTTTAAAAATCATTCCTACATTGAGCAAACATCCTTTGTGCTTTATTAGCCTGGAACGATGTCTTGGGGAAGAGAGGTATTGTACATTGTAAAATGAACACTGAAAATCTCAGAGAGTCTGAATCCTCCATTGTAATGGGCATATATTCCGAAAAAAAAACTACTTGAATTTCTCTTCTATGAGCCATGTACGTTATTTTGTTGTTTCCTTGCCCAGGGAAAGTGGAGGAAGAATTTGAGTAGGATAATTTATTGAATTTACTTAAGGAGGTTGGACCCTGTTATCAAAAGTAATGAGAATTTTTTATCAAGTATATTTTTAGAATCTACACACAAAGCTTAATTTTGAAAATCAAAATAAAACAAGATATGTTTGTGAAACACTGATGCCCCCGTATGGCAGCTTATGGCGAAGGTTAAAGTTTCTCAAATGCAAGTCAAAATCCAGGCCAAAAGATGAAAAATGTTGGTATCCAAAGAAAGGTCTTGTCTCGAGGAATATACCTGTGAAATTTGAAAACCCTAGCTGCAACCGATAAAAAGTTATGATGAAGGTTAAAGTCTTTTAAATGTAAGTAAAACTTCAAGGTCAAGGTCAAAGTTGTTGGTATCCAAAGAAAGGTCTTGTCACAAGGATTACATATGTGAAGTATGAAAGCCTTAGCACTAACCATTCAAAAGTTATGGCCAAGGTTAAAGTTTTTCCAAAATAGGTCAAACTCCTATGTCAATGTCAAAGGGTCAAAGTGATTGGTATCCAAAGAAAGGTCTTGACACAAGGATTACATATGTGAAATATGAAAGCCCTAGCATCAACCGTTCAAAAGTTATGGCCAATGTTATTTCTTTTCAAAAGTAGGTCAAACTCCAAGGTCAAGGTCAAAAGGTCAAAGTTGTTGGTATCCAAAGGAAGGCCTTGTCACAAGGAATATACATGTGAAGTTTGAAACCCTAAGCACCAATTTTTTTAAAAGTTATGGCCAAGGTTAATTTTTTTTCAAAGGTAGGTCAAACTCCAAGGTCAAGATCAAAAGGTCAAAGTTGTTGGTATCCCAAGGAAGGCCTTGTCACAAGGAATACACATGTGAAGTTTGAAACACTAAGCACCAACTGTTCAGAAGTTATGGCCAAGGTTAAAGTCTCATAAAATTTTGCAAAAGTGGGTCAAACTCCAAGGTCTAGGTCAAAAGGTCAAATATGATGATATCCAAAGAAAGGTCTTGTCACGAGGAATACACATGTGAAATATGAAAGTCATGGCTCCAACCAATCAAAAGTTATGAGCAAGGTTAAAGTTGACAACAGACAGACAGACAAATAGACAAACAGACGAACAGAGACAGGACAAAAACAATCTTTCGATCCGGGGGCATGAAAATGGGGGTTAATGCGCTTCTTTTGGTGCTACGGAGCATTTAATATGTCATTGACCTTTTTGCACTGCAATTACGTACGTTTAACACATAAAACAATTTTTCGAAGTTTTTTCCTCTAATATTTTTTATCGAAATAAATTATGGAAACAAATAAAGTCTTTTTTCATCTTGAAAAGTCAAATTAAAATTTGTGACTACAAAAAACTTTTAAAATTACTCACAAATAGATGAAACAAGGGGTTCAACAGTCTCGTTTAGAGTCATCATTTCGCAAGTTCTATGGTCGATACAATGACCTTGTCAGCAAATATAACCTATCATTTAGTCGAATGCTGACTGACGTTTTTCATACTAATTGTTAGGCCATTATTAAACCACTGAATTCTCTAGAGATTTTTCCGTTTGCCAGATCATGAAGAGCACATGGCGGGTGTGACCGGTCGAGGGATGCTTACTCCTTCATGGCACCCGATCCCAACTTTGATATTTTCAGAGGTCTGTGTTTTCTCTGCTCCAGGATTGTATTGTTTCGATAAACTTCTGATTGATTGCTATTCGTTATCTTCCATATTTCGTTATGACAATAATGAGGTAAGAAAATAACACCAATTAAGTTATGATACTGGAACAGATAAAATAAAGACAATCCATGCAGATATTTGTAATCTGCTAATTGGTTAATTTTTTGAAAAACCGAAGAAATAAATACTAGAATATAAGGAATATAAATTGGTTTTGTAATAAAGATGTTACAGTGTCGAATTTTCCTATTTCCACGGATGGCAGATCACCACCAGCTGAGGGTGCCGTCCAGATTGAACCCGCAGTAAAATAGTGTAAATTCAAAAGGACCTTATTTAAATGCAGATTTTTCTTTTATGAAAAAGTGTTTAATTGATTAACTGCTATCTGGAGTGCTGAAAACGTTTTTTTAAAGGAAAAAAAAAATGGTTTTGTGTTGAAATAATTATAACGGGCTTGGAATTCAAATTAAAAAAAAAAAAATCTTGAAGCCGAAAGTGAAAGTGAGAACAAGAACCTCTTTTAAGTAAAAAAAAATATTCATCTTAGTGATTATTGAAGAATTGAATATGAAACCATGAGATACGTGTCCAAAATGATCAAGAAATCAGTCCCCTCATTTACCTGCCTTAGCAGTGGACATAAGAATTCGGTGAGTAATGCTCAAACAGTCAAACGACTCGGGTTACTCTTTTTAGACTCTATACGCCTCTGTTCAGTTTTCTTTGAAACTAATTTCTATTATTCAAACTTAATTAAGGTATTACAACCTCTCCAATGATTTCACGGGCAACGATTTGTCAGAAATCTTGATTAATTAAGTAAATGACTATAGTTAACATATGACATGTACAGTAAAAATACAGATAATATTGTATAATGTCTGCTGTTTTTTTAGAGGCACATGTACAATGATTTAGATACAATACAACATTCGCCAAGCCCGAAGAGGGAGGTGTAAATTGTACTCCTAGGGGTTTTTAATCATTGTATTGACTAAAAAAACAGCAATAGTTGTTTTATTATCTGATTTATGTCGATCTATTATTGGTCAGATGTAGAAAAAATAAATTTTATGTTTTCCTGGAAGGACTCGTGCAGGCCTAGGTAAACATAACTCAGTATAATTTCTACAATGTTGGATCTCATCCAATCATAGTGAATCATATTTAATGAATAGCTTTTAAAATATCACTTATACTTTCAGTAGATATCACTGTCTGTATATATTCACAAAGTTTACGCAGTGTAGAACGTTTTGAAAGAGTACGAGTAATTCAACTGGAAAAATATGCCGCATGCGCCATGCAGTTTTGATCACCACAGGCCAAAAAGTTTAAATGTTAGAGTATCTGTCCAGAGTTCGGAGGAGGGGGGGGGCAGGGTTCGAATCCTGCTCTAGTTAATTGTATTTTCTCAATTTCTGTTAAATTTGGTATCGTTGTTCCATCTACACGATCAATAAATTGAGCCCATGACGGGTGTGACCGCTCAATAGGGGGTGCTTACTCCTCCTAGGCACCTGATCCCACCTCTGGAATTTCAGGGGTCCGTGTTTTTGCCCGTTTCACATAATTGTATAGTTTATAGATTTTTTTTTAGATTGATCACTGTTCGTTATCTTCACCTATTTCATTACCACCCTGGGCTTGAGACAAAAGAATCTGACAAAGGCGATTTGTGAGAGACAGACGTTTAAGGAGGGAGAAATGTAGGGGTCAGGCAAGTTAAATCACTTTCATAGAGCACCTGTTTGGATTTCAAGGGGCCTGGTTTCGAATCCTGCTCATTTCCTGTTATACTCAGTTTTCCTTTAAATTTCCATGTAAAATATAATTTTGACAGTCTAAGAACTGTGCATTTTCTAAACAAGAACAGGTTTGGGCTGAGAAAAAGGAAAAGATTTAAATTACCTTTGCCTTAAAATTTAAATATTTTTTTCAATGTATGTACACCCGACCTTTACCAGAAAACAAAAAATAAAACTGTAATGTACAGGTGAAATGGACCCCTATAATATTTTGATGTATATATTTTTAAGAACAATAAACACTCTTTCTCAAATGGCACACTTATTCAACAAGCATTCTGAGAGTATTGCATTAGCAATACTAGTCCCCTACCGGCAAGTGTAATCTGGTTCCCGTTAAGAATTGAAAATGCCATAATTCCGTCAAAAATCAATGAAGCGGGACGAAATGCAAACTTGATCTATAGCTAATCAGGGTAAAGTCACATAACAAAAAATCAGCTCAATATCTGAAAGAGTTTAAAAGAAAATTGCGGAAAACCCCTAAAAATTGAAAAAGCCGTAATTCCGTCAAAAATCATTGAAGTGGAACGAAATGCAAACTTGATCTGTAACTCATCAAGATACACTCACATACAAAAATCAGACAGACAGACGGACGGACAGACTCATGCAGAGGAAACCTATAGCCCCCTCCGGTTTCACCGGTAAGGGACTAATAAGTACACAGTTTGAGAGAGAAAAGAATTTTTTTAGCATAATTACTTGATCGTATATAAAGTTTAGTTTACAGTGAAATTAATTGTGGAATGCAAGTATGAAATGTTAAATTGATATCTGAAACATGTCCATGCTAGTTGAGTATTCAGGTGACAAAGTTTGTACTGATCTGGCAAAAAAGGCACTGTAGATATAAATGATATTCTGTTATCTTGACAATTTATAATTCAATAATAATTCGATTGCATTGTTTGGTACATATATACAACTCTAATAGCAAATAAGTAAGTAAACTTTATTAAAAGTCATACTACTCTTACTGTATGCAAAATACAAATATGTAGTAAACTTTATTGAAAGTCCTACTACTTTTACGAGTACTGCATGCATAATAGAAAAAAGAAAGTAAACTTCATTAAAAGTCATATTACTCTTACTGTATGCATAATAAAAATAAGTAAGTAAACTTTATTGAAAGTCCTACGACTCTTACTGTATGCATAATACAAATAAGTAAGTAAACTTTATTAAAAGTCCTACTAATGTTTCTATATGCATAATTCAAATAAGAAAGTAAACTTAAATCTGGCACAAATAAAGCATGACAATATATATCTATACACAGATATAAACATTTCACTAATCAGTAAAAATTAAAACATACCCATGTGCTTCTACACAAATCATGCATCAACTGCAGATTATATACATAAACATGAAAAAGTTGACAAAAGTTAAAAAAAAATAAAAATCGTGTGGTAGGAAAAACAGCACTATACATGCTATATACCTTGTGAATTTATTAGAGATACACTGAACAACAAAAGGGTAGAGAAGTTAAGGTGGAGGAAGGAAATTCCAGTCTGTAGTAGCTGCATATTCAATTAAATTCTTCAAAACACATTGAAATATAATTTGAAAATTGATTGTAAGAAGAAAAACATGTTTTTTTCTGTAAACATCTCAATTGCCATTGTTATTCTGTCACAAATGCCATATATTATATAAGTTTGAATACCGTGAAGAGTTTTCTAAATTAAATATAAACTTGAAGCTTTGTTTTGATTAAACTGTCACATCGAGGACAATAATTAAGTTGGCGTGTGCATCTGCAGTCGTTGCAACATCCATGCTGACATGGCAGGAAAATCTCCTTGACAACATTGGCAAAACAAACACAACACAGACAACGATCTGGAAAGGAAATGCTTCACAGTGATTACAACTGTAACAAAAAAGGTTTTCTGAAATAAAAGTAGACTACTGATGTGATTATCAAGTTCTTACCATCACCAGAGAATATGTCTTCCTGGGTTTCACTTTCCTCATAAAAGTACTTCAGAATGTGGACTTTGGTGATAACCCGTAAATCTATATAAACAATACATTAAAATTACAACAGAGGAAATTCTACTGTTTCAGCTGTATTAATTTCATAAAAATTATTGATAATTGTTTTTTTTCTCTTACCAAGATTGTTACTACATGTAAGTTCTCTACATGCATGCACTATGTCTTGTTGATCAAATGACAGGTCCTGAGTTTCTCTTGAGGCAGGCAAATTTGCTATCTCTTCATTAGATAATAGATCATCTCCATGTGATCCTTCTGGTTGATTTCTAGATGGCTGACACAATAACAAAAAGTTCAAATTATGCTGATTTCAAACTTAAAATTTTCTTTTATAATACAGGAATTTTAGAATAAAATCTAAAAAAAATTGCAAAATTAAAAAAAGAGTATTCCGTTTTGAATAATATCTTAATAATATCAGGTTCTTTACCTCTGTTGAATGCTGTCTGACAAATTTACAGTTTGGAAAATTCTGGGCATGTTTAGACATAGGGTCATCTGACACTTGCCAGTTTCTTAACTGTCCATCACAGAAGGAGCACTGGACAGCATCACTGTAACCTAAATAGAACAGGCCAGCTAATGCCATCCTCTCTGGTGTTTGATTTAAGTGCCTGGGCCAGTTACAGAAAGTAGAGAGTCTTTCTCTGTAGGTTTGAGGAATTCCTGGAGTGTTTCTCACAGCTCTGCTTAGTCGAAGGTCTCCTTCAGAGAGTGAAAATCCTCTACCTCTCTCTGATGAAGGGTGTCTTGATCCTGAGGGACACATAGATTCTGCACCTTCTGTGTGGGTAGAGCCATTGCTGGGGGAACGGGGTCGTCTTGTAAGATGTCGACATCTGCTAGTTCTGGGTAACAAATAACGAGTATTTGTACACTTCTGCCCAAAAGAGTTAGACCTGAAGGATTCCAAATCTTTACTATTGTCATGTTTTGCATTTTCTGCACAGTGTGATGTGTAGTCAGGCCTCCCTGGCTGTGAGAGGATGTCCTCAGTTGTTGATGATATTTGAAATTGAGGGTTATTTTCACTGAGTGTTGGCAGTCTTAGAGTTTGGAAAAGCATAGCTCTATTTTCGTCAATTCTGGAAGCTGGTGTAGAGCAATTGGGCATGTTGGGTAGATCCGGTGCATTCATTGTCTCTAAAGATATTGTTGGTAAATTAGGTATGCCCATAGGAATGTTTGAACTTCTATGTTCACAGTGAGAGGGTATAAGTCCATTAGTCCAGTCACAATGTACAAAACCACAGAAGTAACATTTACAGGTAGTGCCACATCCAGTAAAAAAGAACCCGGACTGTGCCAAAAGGAGGGAACTGACAGTTTCAGAAGAAGGAAAATCACGAAATGTTGCTAGTCTATTCCACTCATATCTCATGTCACTAGACATGTATCTGTTTGATTCCTCCATTATGTCCTATCTGTTTTCACAAATCTTCAGTGCATTTTCCCCTTATCAATAGACTATGTTCTCCTGAAATTATTTAAAAAAAACATTTACATTTTAACTCTTAAAGTTAACAATTATGCATTCCTGCTTTGTGTGTCAAGCACCTTTTTTTAACGAAACAATATTTACTCTCCAGTTTATTTAAGAAATAAGGTATATTTTTAAAACATGATTGTAAAAAAAGATTATGTATTCCTATGTACATTATGTAAAACGGGAAAATGTACGTATGTACAGGGCATACTGGAACTATATACATTACAGATATATTGAATAATGAAAGATAAAACAACTCCCCTCCCCACCTCCCACCCCAGCTTCAATAATATTTAAACAAACAGATATAAAAAAAAATTATTGAAAGTTGTCAACACAACATATATTTTCTTAAAAATAGAAAATGTGCTTGTACTAGCCTCAGCAATGTGCCCCGGTGAAATACACTTGACTTAAGGCAAATTAAAAAAACGATGATAGACTGATTTTATTGATTACAAGTTATATGATCCATTGGGATGTTAATTATCGTAACAAAATGATAGACTGTCACACCTGAAAATCCAAAGTCGCAATAAATCTCCAGATTAATAAAATACCAAATACCATAAGCCTGGTAATGACCACGAGGCACGAACATTAAAACATTCACAAAAGACAGTTATATCACTATAATGGTATTTTTTACAGAAACTAATGAAACATTTATATACATAATCTGTTGAGAATCTCGCCAGTTTCTGTCGCATAGACCACTACATTAAAAATCCTACATTTAACACTTTACCATCCAATTGGTGTTACATCATGTATTGTTGGTAAATAAATCCTTGACCTAAATAAAAAAATAAAAAAAAGAAGAAATATCTCTTTTTAAAATTACAGCTGATGAAACGTGATACTATTGACTTTTCATGTGAAACTTATTTCTTATTAATCAACAATAAAAAGACATTTTAAAGGGGCAGAAAGTCAAGCTCCGATTAGACTTGCCTCGCCTGTCAGATATTTCAACCAGATGCTCGGCTGTCTCCGTAAACTCCGATCTCTGCTCGTCGGAGCATTCGGCAAACCTCGGCTGATTCCGTCACCTTCATCAAACAAGGTGCGAATCGGCCGAGGTGTGCCGAGTGCTCGTCGGAGTTTACGGAGAGTTGTCTTCCGTGTTGCGACGAAAACTCTGGATAGAGAATGGGCGGATCTGCGAATACGATTTTAAACTTAAATTGCAGATGTGAACAATACTCTACTGGAGCCAAAGCATGTATAAGTATAGAAAATATTTAAAATACTGGGATATGAAAAACATTTAAATTATTAAATTAATTATTGCATTATCATGAGGGAAATATGAAAATTTATTATATAGATAATAAAGAGTCCATAATAAAAAAAACTACTAAAAGTTCAGAGAAACTCGCTCAACTGCAATATTTATGATGAGTGGTGGCAATTAGGTCATATTTGTCTATTTTCACAAAAAATTGAAATTATTACTGAATAATTTAGTATCTGTTAGCCTCAATAAAAAGTTCAATAAGCAAATCATAACGGTTGTAGCGTCATTGGAATGATGTGATATTGAACAATTATAGGACAGACGCTGATACTGCACACTTTTAATTTAAATACCAATGCTGAAAACTTTCATTAATTTTGAGTTATTTAGTAAAATTAATTAATATAAATCAACGAAAAGTGTTTAAACTATAAGAAAGGAGTTAATGAATTTATATTGGTGAATATTGGCACTCGTTGACTGTACAAACACACTCGCAAGTTAGCCAACTCGTGCCAATATTCACCAATACATGTTCAATAACCCTATATTACACAGCCAATAAAAATCATCTTCCCCAAAGGTTTTGCCAGAGGTGAATATAATTTTTTGGTCGAATAAATCTTCATTATGAATCTGTTAAAATGTTAATTAAATTGACGCACTTCATGTACATGTATGATACTAGTAAGTATACAGCGTGCAAATGCCAAATTTTTGATAAGAATTTTATTTTATTGCCATAATTAAAGTTGATACATATTTTTCTACAATTTCCTCACTATAATTTCTAATATAATGCAACTAAATATTGTTAGACAATATACATATAAAAGTAGTAATAAGAATGCACAAAAAATCCCATGGTAAAAATTAAGAACACTTTACATTCAAAGCTGTATTTATTATTTATCATAATAAATAAAATATTGATTCTAAATGAACTGAGGTGGGAAAGGACAGTGCCTATCCTGCATAAATACCATGGGTAGTATAGTGTTAGAATGTTCATGGAATAGCTCACAATAATGGAATAGCTCATATGCAAATTTCACAATAATACAATGTATATAGCTACTGTAATTAATTGAATCCATTTATATTAATTAAAGCACCGGCTTTACTTCATTCAGAGTGTTTTAATTCTACCAGATTATCAGTTAAATTCTACAATAATGTTTTTTACCAATTAATTTTAATTTTTGCAATAGACATGCAGGAAACTAATATGCCGATAAAATATATATAAAAATATACAGTCTGGAACAAACAAGAATACAGAATAAACAAAATTGCAGATGAAAAATATGAGGGACATAAACGCAAGTTTACTATCCACACACCACAGGCTTTTTCTCTTCAATTTCTTGCCCCCTTGCAGAGTCATATGTGGTCTTTTTTCGACTTGAATTTAAAGACAAAGAAATGTTGGGCGACCACATCGAATTAATGCTTTAAATCACCTGAAACAGGAAATGTCCAGAATGAACACTGAATTATTTGTACTTAAGAAAAGTTTCATCTTTTGGTATCGAATAGTAAGCAAACAAAATCTTACATATTACACATTGAATAAGTAGAAAAATGGAATTTGGTTATCTCTGTGTCAAAAGTGGATCTCTCTCCCTCTTTCTCATCAATATTTATTCTTTTTTATATGCAAGAATACCACCACGATATGGACTGTGTTTCTATTGCGAAAACACTGACTTCAATTATTACAGTTTCTTATCAGAATGCACTTCAAATTACACAATGTGCCACGATTCCTTCAACTCAAGTAAGTTTAAAATGTGCATCTGATTATGACGACTCGAATATTTCTCGTTTTTTAATGAAAAACGTATACTTATTATTCCATTTCGTCCCAACAAAATTGTGAATTTTATTCTCATCGATAATTGACCTTTCGTTTCGTATTTTGTAGAGTTTTATATGTGAGAACTTAGTAGTTCAAAGAAGAACAATACGAATCCTGTTTAGTCTAACTGGAGCAGTGCAAAAATGAAAAATAGATATATATCTAAAGGAAAAACTATAATGATCATTTTTTTCGTGTGTTTTGTTTTTATTTCTTTCTCTTTCCCGTTTTTGTCAAATTGGCTTTTGACTTCTTCAAGCGCTGCACCCTCATTCATAAATAAAATAGACACCGTGGTAAAAACGCTGCCCTATCTTGTGGATACACCAACTTGTAGAATCCCAAACTTAGATCCTATGGATATCAGTGTAAAGCATTGGCTCCCAAAGCCAACAAAAGTAGTATGTCCGAGAGACATGTCGTATACTTTTGGATCCCATGGAAATGTATTCGTCAATTGGACGGTTGTGAATATTTCACTCAAAACAGACGGAGGGAACTTATCTTATTGCACTTATCAGACTATAAACCACACAGAGGGAGCAAAACATAACGAATTCACGTATTCCAAGGAGAGCGAGAGGTTCAGGGATTTCATAAAGGTGGATGGTGAATTTGTCCGTGTTCGATGTTATAACTCATCAAACAGCATCATCTACACAAACTTTCATTATTTCTTTCTCCCTCATAACAACACAGAATCAAGAATTTCATGTGAAAATAACAAAGTCAAGAATTTGAAACCCAATGTCTTGATGGTCGGTATTGACTCTTTGTCGAGGATAAACTACATACGATACTTGAAGAAATCTCGTCAAATGATGTTGTCAATGGGAGCCGTGGAATTTGTTGGATACAACAAAGTCGCAGATAACACATTTGTTAACTTGGTTCCTGTTTTAGCAGGGAAATTTGCAGAAGAGCTACCATGGAATGAAAATATTCGCCACCAGATGTTTGATTCTTTTAGGTTTATTTGGGATGATTTTAAAGAAAAAGGTTTTGTCACCTTCTTTGTAGAAGACTCGCCTAACACCGCCATTTTTGATAACGCTAAGGCTGGCTTCAAGAAAAATCCTACAGATTACTACAATCGACCAATGGCAGTCGCTATGGAGGGTGTTGGGGAGATATGGTTTGAGGATCATAACTGTGTTTTGGATAAACTAGAAACTGATATACTACTGGAGTACGTCTCTGATTTCGTCCATGGGGTGAGGCATTGTCCATATTTTGGTCTCGTTTATCTCTCTCGAATGACCCATGATTACATACAGGGAGCAGGAGCAATTGATGATCCATTGCACAATTTCTTCAAAGAGCTCTATAAAACTGGTTTTCTGAAAAATACTATTGTTATTTTATTTAGTGACCATGGGATGAGATATGGGGAAATTAGAAACACATACATTGGGAAACTGGAAGAACGCTTGCCTCTATTGAATGTAATGATACCTAAAACCTTTTCAAAGGATCACCCCGAATATCTGACAAACGTGATGTTAAACAGTAGAAGACTTACTACACCGTTTGATTTGCACGAATTTCTCAGACACATACTGCTTTTAGATGAATACAGACAGTCATCAGAGAAGGGGTTTAGTCTATTTGCTGAAATACCTTCTAACAGAACATGTAAGAGTGCTAATATTTCAGCACACTGGTGCACTTGTAGTGAAATGTTTTCGGTCCAAGTTAACACCCCTGTTGTTCAGAAGATTTCTAAATACTTTGTTGAATTACTGAATTCTAAATTCCATAATACGAGTGTCAGTTGTGCAAATTTATCTCTTGAAGAAACTATGTTTTCGTATCAGATAAAACCACAAGACAATGTATTAAGATTTGAAGGCATCGAAAACGAAGTTCTTAACAGAAAGATACTGTACGGATATCCGGTGAACGCAATTGTTGACTATCAAGTTACCATTCGAACACAACCAGGAGAAGGAGTGTTCGAGGGGACATTCAGATATGATGAGGAATACAGTAGATTAAACCTAGTAGGAGATATTAGCAGACTCAATAAATATAGTGACTCGTCATATTGTGTACAAGGAACTGAAGCTGAGAAGTTCTGCTACTGCAGATGAAAGACCGTTTCGTGAACGAGCTGTGTAAGCAAACTAGATGAGTGCTATTTAAAGTGCTAGATTTCCAGACTGAAAAAACCCCAAGAAAACCAAAGAAAGCAATTTTTCAACAGTGATGTGGTTCGAGCGGAATTTTACATACTTATAAATATTTTCAGAAAGAATTTGCTTTGCTGGGAATAAATGAATAAAAAAATTATTGATTATTAATATTGAATTTGACTTTGGTTATAATAATCTTTATCAGGTCCTACATAATCATGTCCAATACATCTTATTACTTCATCCAACAACATCAACAGTTCTAAAGCAACAGAGTATAGTATTATTGATAATTGATATTGAATTTGACTTTATTTGAAATAATCTTTGATTAATTAAAAAAGGTAGAAATGTGTTTCAATAATTCTTTCTTTTGAAACATGCTAATCGTACAAAATATGAATAAGTTTTTCCATTTACATATATAACTGCTACGATGTTCCTTCATGTCCATTCAAAATCAAAAAAATCAATTAGTGGGTTCTTCTACAGAAAGTGTTATGCAAATACCAAGAAAAAACAAAAATGTAGCTATCATTTTTTTAAAAAAACTTTAATGAAATGTGAATGAAAAAAGCTCTGTTTTACTTAATCATTAATTAAGAAACAACTAGGGCGTCATACACAGTGTTTCCACAGGAGTGCCTCAGTATAACGATGATCTGTAGTTCCGTCAGAAAAAAAATCTTATAGAAATAGCATTCTTCTCCCATTATGCTTAATCAAAGATGTTTCTTTTGCACATTCATAATAAAGGAAGGTTTGAGCTTTCAAAAATTTCTATTAAACTATTTTTTTTCATTTGAATACCTTAAGTAACTCATAAACTAACTAATTAGCCAATAAAACACAAGTCTTTGCATTCTTGTTTTAATACAACCTGTCTCAGAATACATATATACATCTCAAAATTCAACAGCCAAAATTTAAATAGAGAAATATGATCTCATATTTTTTTTATATATGGAAAAATATCCCATTTAGATTAAAACTTATGAAAATCAAAAATATTCACTTGCTAAGAGAATTTTTGAATACTTTGAAAACACTGAAAAACATTAACAAATTGACGTTGAATCTGCCAACGTCCTTTTAAAAAAAATTACAAAATAAGTATATCTTAATTTTGAATAATTCTCAAAATTTACATGGTATTTTTTCTTTAAAATTAATTAGAATGATATCTAAGGTTAACAAATAAAAAACAACAACATATTTTATCATAGCATAAATTTTACAAAACAGTCTTTTGAACATGTACATACTCCAGTTTTGGGGGTGTCAAGTTTTAGAGTATTTCCTCGTAAAATGTGCTATGGATTCTATAATGGTCTATTATCTTTAAAGGAAAATATCATAACACAGGCAAAATACAACAAAAAGAGTTCAATGTGAGTTATCGCTCTTTTCCCTAAGAGCAGCACATACTAATAAAACAATAAAAAAATGTACAATTCACACTTATTTAGCACATGTAGTATTTCTATACATTTTAGTCAATTGAAAATTAAGTAACACTTCCTCTTCCTTTTATTTTCTACAGTCGAAATTTTCACTAATAATTGAAAAAAAATTACATGGAATTTTTATGTTTTTAATTTCTTTTATCAATGTTGACAAAAAACAGATTAACTGACTTCATTACTTGTATTGATTTTTACATAAAATAAAACTTTTGAAAACATTAAAATCATTAAGTTAGATATGGAATTATTTTTTTCTACAATTAAATATTTTTATTATATTTTAGTTTTATCGATATAGTCCCTTCTCTATCCCACATACACACGATGTACTGCTTTAATGTAATGATAGCAGTAAGGACACTGCTCTGTTTCTTGTTCACATTCTACACAACAACCATGGCGACACGGCAGGAACATCACACAAACTACACGATCACAACACATGCAGCATACACAACTGTCTGTAATATGTATATAATGCAAAATATACATTAACATTTTAAGATTAGCTAATTTTTATGTGTCATCAACTGTAAGACATTTAAGCCTATGAAAAAGGCAATGTGTTTGATTTTAGTATGATTAAAATGAAAGGAGAAAGTGTAATGAATAGTCATGATTTTCTTTTTATGTAGCTTTGACATTAGATGTTTTTAAACAAACTATTTTCTTTAAATTCACATTTTTACAATAGCTCTCACAACAAAAAGTAACTTTTACAAAACTTACCTCCACTAAAAGATTCTTCCTCATCCTGATCATTGTCAAAAAAGAAGCAGAGTATATCTGTGGATGTAAGCTCTCGAATGTCTGAAGAAAAAAGAACCCCAGAAAGATTTGAAATGCCTCTTGTGATATCAACGAAAAAATAAACAAAATAGGATGAGAGGAAGTAAAATTTTAGCAAATGTGATTGACAATACATTAATTAGATCTGTAAATAGTACTGACACGTTTCTTACCAAGTGTGTGCGATAAAGTGTTATATGCACGTAGAATGTCGTCAATGTTAAAACAAAGGTCTAACACTTCTTTAAGAGAATCAAGATGTTTTATCTGATCCAATGTTATGGTTTCTCTTGTTCTTGGTTGATTTTCTAATGCCTGAAATATATTTACAAGGAAGAAAAAAAATTCCGACAATGAAATTTATTCACAAAACCTACAGAAAAATGTATTACTATAGTATATTGCACGATGTATAACTATAATGTTAAAGCTCAGCCATCTACGTTTTTAAAACATATTTTAATCTTCTCTTCTTTAAATATTAGGGTTTTCGTCTTACCAGGTCTTGTTGTCTTTGACGACATTGCTGGATAAATTTACAATCTGGAGAATGCCTGGCATGCTCTTCCAATGGTATATCACTTGACTCCCATTTGTACAAGCCTATATTACAATAGGGGCATCGTACACAATCATTACGTCCTGTGTAATAAAAACCAGCGTCCACCATATCCATTGGGCATTGTCTTAAGTGACTTGGCCAGTTGTGAAACGTTGCCATCCTCTCTGTATATGTTTGTGGTATTTCTTGTGTATTCCTCACAGATCTGCTCATCGGAGCACAATTCTGTCCTAGAATATCTTGGTTTGGTCTTCTTAGTATTCCAAAATCTGACAGAGTATTAGACTGTGTCATAGGAAGAGATAAGTTTGAAGGACCAAATGAATCAGATATATCAAGACTCTGTCCATCATCAAAACCACTTAATTCAGCTGAATTAAGACTTCTTCGATGTAGCCCAAGTTGACAAGTGTTATTTGCATAATCTTCAGATTCCGTCTCTCTAAGATTTGACTCTTGTGTAGATGTAGAAATATTGGAATAATGTTTAGCCTCAGGTGCACTATTTTTCAATTCGTTCTGATATTTATTCTCCTTCTGTTCAGGCTTATTTCTCGAGTTTTGTATTGGTAGCTTTTCTTTCTCAGAGTTATTTGCTTTCTGTTGCTTTATTGATGGATGCAGAACCCGGCTTGTTTCCCGAGATATCTGGTTATTGTCTTCCCTTAGAGGAGATATGTCAGTGCTTTCATTTATGAAAATGTCACCACCAATCATTTCCCGTGTGGATTGGTTTGAGGTAACATTGTTATTTTCTGATGATAAAAATCTGGAGTTTGTCTCTTCACAAATTCGTAAATGCTGGAAAATACTAGAATTGCTCGTTGGAGTAGTGCTATCTCTGAAATGAGGCTGAGGAGTGGAATTAAGATTTAGACAGTCTGATATTTGTATTCTGAGCCACTGGAAAAGTTCGGGATTGTTTTGATGAGAACTATTTTCTGGAGGTACATGTAGTTCACAATAATTAACACCTAATCCTTCCCAGAGACGATCAAACGAATGAGTACTTGCTGAAAAAAAGCAATTTCTGTCATCGGAGGTAGGAGTTTGACTAAATTGTGTAAATAAACCATTATCACTAGAAAAATGTCCTTCGAGTTCCTGATTTATTGGTTCATTCGATTCTCTTCTGGAGATTTCTTCACAATGAGATGGAAAGTATTCTTGCGTCCAGTTACTTTGTTCAGAGCCACAAAAAATACAACGACAGAGACACTCTGTACCTGTGTAGTAAAATCCCGACCGGGCAAGGCGAATGGTACTCACAGAATTGTAACCAGGAAAAGTAGCAAAGCTTAAAACTCTTCTCCACTCATTTCGCATACAACTTTGATCCTCTTCAAAGTTTTCAATATTATTGTCGGCCATCTTAAAGGATTGGCCGCTTCTGTTGTTATAATTTAAGCCGTCTACTTTACAACCATGACAACTGATAGCACAATACTGTTATTTTAACACGGTTCAAAAAGAAATTTACTTGTATCTACAAGGGTTAAACTTCTAAAGACGGATATCACACAGTTTTGTTTTCTTTAATTTTTCTTCTTCTCTTCTTACCGATCACTTCATTGTTTATTTACAACTCCTATACACTTATATACACAAGAAGAAGTAGTTTCATTACAAACAAGGGACATCATTTATCGGTTTAATTCATATAAATGCACGATGGATTTAAGTAAATTGGTTGAATAAAACTTTTTAAACTTTCTGATTTGTTTGAACAGCAATATTCCGTTCAATTTTTGTTTTCATTTAAAATAGTTCTTTGCGTATTGATATCAGGTACATTTAATTGTCAGCTGACCTATCTTTATTTTGTATATTCAGTGTATAGTGATGCGTTTGTACCATAAATCACCTGGAAAAAGACTAATCTGAACCCCACAACTATTCTTTTGTACATTCATTCTACACTTTGTTCCTATACATATTCACCTCGTGCTTGTCAATTCCTTCTGAAATTATTTTTATTTTGGGTTTCCTTGAAGAAGAGGCCTGTTAAAAAATTTTATGGTAAAGATGTGCTTAGATTTTTCTGCAATTTGATGAATGAATTCGTCTGATGAAGCTTAATAACTTTAATTTGGTCATGTAAGTTGTATCAGGGCATACTTTTGATTACATGCAATAAAAAAAAATCATGTATCTAACTGTCATTTCTAATGCAAAATAAAAAATCCAATTGAAAATATGGGATTTTACCCCTTTTTTCAACAAATAAAATATATCCAGTTTGCTTACTAGCTCTCAGAGAACAGTGATTAATTGACCTCTTTAAAATATTGTTTAACTGAATATGGATATCTAATAAATCACTTAAACATCAAATGTCAGGAAATAGTTTCATTTTGTACACAGTTTAATTATTTCATTTAAGAGTGGGGAGAAAATGCATTTAAAATTATTATAATTCAATTAATTCATCTTTATGTTTTTTTTTTTTTTTTTTTTTTTTTTTTTTTTTTTTTTTTTTTCACATGCGGTGTCTAAATGTCGTGTTAGTTTTGGGATGCACGATTACAACATTTTATGAAAAGTAACTTTATTTTCTTATGTGATATGAACATTACATATTATTTAGAGTTTTTGACATTTTTGTACTGTGAATAAAATATGTGGGTTGTATTACAAAGACTCTTTTTAAATATTTATATCCGATTTTCATATTGTTTATATATAAACAGTTAAGATTTTTTTCATCTTTAGTATGAATGAAAAAGTTGTTTATTACAATTAAATATGCGTAAATAATAGTAAAATAATCATTGAGTTCAAGCTATAAAAGTTATTGTGTTTCTTCTTTTATTTTTTTACATTCTTTTGTCAAATCAAATTGTATTTAAAAAAAACATAAAGTAAGTGATATTTCTGATGATGATGTAAAACTTTGACTTGTTTTACGAGAACTGCGTACTATAGTACGTCAATATAACAACTGATTTGAATTTAAAAAAAAATTACCTGTACTAGTAAGACGCTTGTAACAATTCCTCTGAATAAAATGAAACTGTAAGATTATTTCTGTTGCAGTAAAATTTTGGGTTTGTTTAAAAAACTTTTTCAAAAATTGCATCATTTACAAGTTGAAAGAGAGCAGCCGGAGTCAATGTTATGGTAGAATGAGAAATTGATTTAATAAAGTTTTAAATGAGCTGATTAAATCATCAATCTTTAAGGACTGCGGTTTTTATTTGATTGGTGGTATGCTCCGTTCAGGGTCATTTGGTGCAAACATATAAACCCTACGGTGATCTCGTAACTGTTTACAACTCATTCATGAAAAGAAACTGTGTGATGAAAATGTGTGGATTTATGTTTGTTCATAATGTTACGGAAATATATTTTGAATATTTATCGGGCTTCGAGATTAATGCCATAAATCCAGAATTATACGAAAAAAGGAAATTCAACAATTCAAATTTGTATCATTTTTGTATTATTGAATTAAATTATAATGTTTTTAAACACGAATGCTTCGCGATACTATTGAAGCTGCATATGATTTTTATAGTGATGGTCATTTTACGCAGAGATTAAAAAACATCTCTGTTCTTGTCTCTGCGTCATATAATAGTGTGAATTCTGTTTTTCTAGTTGGAATTTTAACTAGACATTTTTAGTTCTTTTCGAAAATAACACAAGTGTTTGTTTAAATGAATTTTTAAACAATAACAATTTACACCAATATGACAAGCTGATTTTTCCTCCTTTCTCATCTTCTCTCTCTTCTTGTATACTCCTTATATACTTCTCTGACATCTAACAACGTCTACCCTCCCTGGTACGGCATAAGACTCCAATGAAATATGAAGATAAAATAAGGAACAGTATTCAATCTCGAAAGTCAAATGAAACAATACAAATTTGGAGCAGGGCAAACATGGACCTCAAAATTTAGAGGTGGGATCAGGTGCAATAGAGGAGTTTTCATTGTATTGGGGCCTGCTGCAGCATCGTGAAGTGTCAAGAAACCCAATACTATTAAGACATTTCTTAAGCTCCATTAATATAAAACAATAATGATTAGTTAAGGACGTTGTTTTAGATTAACTCCCCTTGATGAAGTTAAAAGAAGCTTTTGCTATATTTCGGATGTTTTCGTCGGTGTCACACAGCTTAAGGAGCAGGGCCTTTTTCTTTTTATATCAAGAAAAGCCCATCTAAACCTTTGGCTCAGGCGAGTACTTCAACATGTCACATGCCATAATCTAAATTTGTAAATTCTAAATGAATAATTTTAGTCATAACCTTTTAGCTATGGGTACCTAGGATTCATTCAAGACCATTTCTGTTGCCTTCTCAGGAGAAATATTAATTGAACTACCGGTATTATTAAAAAAGTATTTGAGGATAATTTGTACATATTATAATAACTATTACAATACATTTAGATATGTGAAATGATTCAAATGAGCATATTACTTTTGTATCATTTATGTGCTATATATAAAATTTAAGGATAACTTACAAAAATATATTTGTTATAATATTTCTGATACATGAAAATAACAAGGGGGTAATATTTAGAGGATCATAATTTTCAAAGAACATAGTTAAATTATTTCACGGTAAAAAAAATCAGTATACCAATTTATCACCTAATCTTAGATAAATGAAAACAAAAATCTCAAATAAACAAATACCCTTGATAGATTATGTCATATGAATTAAACTTGATCAAATACTATAGTATGCACAATGTCAAATCTTAAAATTGCCTTGATACCATACGTACTGTGTATCAATTTGCTTAACGAGTTCGTATCGGTTTAAAAAGGTGGAATATTAAAAAAAATCATTCAGGTAAGAAACCCTTTTTGTCATCTTGAATGAATTTCTCTTATCACTACACCATACATAACTATTTACACTTCAAGTGTGGTTAAAGGGCTTAAAAACATCAAACTATTAACTTGCGTAATCACCTTGTTATCATAAAAACATAGAGTATTGTGTTTCCTTTTTACTGTAAAGTGTGAATGGGTCGGTCAAGATGCATTGAAATAGTGCATACATCTCAACATTTAAGATTTAAAAAGTCTGCACTTTTCCCTCCGTATACATTTCATTGAACTGAAATATGACGATTTGTTATAATAATAACCCAGACCTCAAAGTTCCATGCTTTGAATTATTAATGAATTTGCACTTTGTGCTCTATATGACATGCCTTTCATATGTATACGATATATCGATTATGCCTTTTGGAAAATAATATTTTTCCCATAGTACTTGAAAGTAAACAAAATTTCTCATAAAACATTGAATTTGTTTCTTTGAATTTAAATTGGGACTTTTGATTTAAGCGCTATTGTTGAACACTAGTGCATTCAAGCCATCATTTTAGCTAAAGCATATGCCTATGAACAATTCGAAGTGAATGTGACAATTGCACTTTTTGCAAGGTATAAAACATTTCAGAAAATTTCATCTTGTATGGAAACTGTATTAAAACTACGAATAGGATAAAGACACTCAGAATTAATAAGTTAAGGCAATGGTAAATGATACCTTAACATATAATGTAAATGATATATGTTTCTTATTTATAAACAAAATAAACTTAAAATGCAGGAGCAAGTCATTCACTTTGTTTACGAGAAAGACTTTTTATTATAGGTGTAACGAGTATGGAGCTCAATACTATTCTGGACTTTGTACTAGTGGGTGGCAGAGAGATCACACATTGCTTCTATTCGCCGGAATCCAACTCTACAAACATACATATCAACCTTCCATAGAAAGAGAACTGTGTCTAGGATAAGTTGGTGACAGCAGGGACCTCTGGAAACATCAGAGGTGGGATCAGGTGCCAAGGAGGATTGAGGATCCCCTGTCGATCAGTTACACCCAGTGTTAATCACCTGTTTTATCAGGTACGTCGAGTAATGTGTAGTTAATACAGAATAAAAACAAAACAATGGCCTTTCGACTTATTCTGGCTTTAATTCATTAAAAGTAAGATAAGGATTATCAAAAAAGATCAAAACATATTGCAGGTGTAAAAGAGATAGCATCCCGTGTAATTCGAATGTTACTGCTTCAAGACTGCATCATAGTGTGAATCATTCTACTGATATACCCTACGGATATACTTTTTGTTTTTGATATTAAGTTTTCAAATCTATGTGAAGGATTAAGTCCGAAAAGTGTCCATTCTGTGAGAGAAAGGACTGTTCGAGATCGGAAGGGCCGAGAATAGTTTTTTCTCTCATAGAATGGACAGTTTGAGGATTTTTTCCTACTTAAAACATTTTCTCTATTGTTAACTTAATAAACTGTCCCAGACGATGGTTATCTGTTTGCAAAAATTATGTAACACAATAAATTGTCCAAAGAGTGAGTGTCATTTAAAAATACACCAACAAAAGGGGTGAAAATAAAGGTGTTTTGTTAAACTTAATGGACAGCGCCAGATAAATTTAGATTTAAATGATAGCTAGCTTGATTTCTGATTACTTTTCATGCAAAGCTTTATGAATGAAGATGTTCTCATCGGATGGAGAAAGTATATTTCTAACTCAATCAAAATACAGAGATCCTGAGGAAAGCGTCAATACAGATGGTTTTTGAGTGACATACTAGATATGGAAAAAGAAAATAGTAAACCACAGCCACGATTTGACTTAAAACTGGATTTGTTTTTTGATGTTTCCGAGGATGAATTAGTGGAAGCAAGCCAAGGTGTTGAGAATATAGAGAGAGTTCTAAAACCTCTTAAGCAAGCAGAGTGAGGAAGGGTCTCTCAAAGAAAACAGAGCAGAAGACAAAATGGGCTATTAATCTATTCAAAAAATGGCAAGAAGATAGGAAAAACAAAGTAACAGGAACAGAGACTTTCATATCAAGGAAAAATATATAGGAAATGTCACATGAGGAATTGAACAAAACCATGGGCTACTTTATCGCGGAAGTAAGAAATCAGAAAGGTGAAGATTTTATGCCCAGTAATATTTATGAACTTGTGTGTTCCATTTAACAGCACATGAGACAAACGGGAAGATTTGTGAGTTGTTTTGTTTTTTTTATGATGAAACATTCTATGGATTTAAAAAAAGTTCTTGATTCCAAAATGAAGGAATTGTCGGGTCATGGTCTAGGAATCGATAGGAAGAGAGCAGGAGTCATCTCGGAGGAACAAGAAGAAGTTATATGGAGAATGAATATTCTTGGAACTGACACTCCGCAGAAACTATTAGATACTTTGCTATTCGTGCTTGGATTGAATCTTGCACTGAGAGCGGGTCAAGAGCACCGTAACCTGCATGTGGGGAAATAAGTCAAATTTCGATCATCAAAGAATCTGGTGGCCTTAGATATCTTGAGTGTATATAAAGAGGATGTATCTAAAACTTATAGGGGTGACAACAAAACAGAAATGTGAAACCTAAAGTAACACGTGCTTACGAGAACCATCGACCCGCGAGTACCCGAGAGATGTCCTGTTCTTATATTTGAGAAATACCTGAGTTGAAATAAGTATGAGTTTTTGTAAATTAAGAAATTTAATGAAACATATACCATTTTATTTCAAAATTTATGTTTGAGTCAATTAATCATTGAGTCAAATGCTGACTGACGTTTTTCATACTAATTGTTAGGCCATTATTTACACACTGAATTGTCAACGGATTTTTCCGTTAATTCCCGATCATGACAAGGAGCACACGGCGGTTGTGACCGGTCGGCAGGGGATGCTCACTCCTCCATGGCACCTGATCCCACCTCTGATGTTTTGGAGGTCTGTGTTTGCTCTTCTCCTATTTTGTATTGTTTAATGGACTTTTGAGCTTGAATACTGTTCGTTATCTCCATATATTTCATGATAGTATAAGCTGAATCGCATTCCCTTTCAGCCCGAGGGATGGTAAATGCGACGCTTTGAATCTACGACCTCTGAAGTACGCACAAGCCGAAACCTGGTATGCAGATTCTCCAGTCGGCGTTCATGTTTTGACGAAAACTATTGCAAATCTTTGTGAAAGAGCAGGCCCCAAGACCATAAACTGAGAACAGACTTAAGTCAAAATTTCAAACCAATATAACTTTTGAAATAATTTTGATAATAAAACAAAATTTTCATCATATATTTGAATTTAAATGTTATATAAAATTGCAAATTTTTATGCAAATACATTAGATAAAATTCAAGATATTAAAAATCAAAATTTTGACTTAAGTCTATTCTCAGTTTATGGTCTTTGGGCCAGGGTTCAAGTGACACTATACAAATCACACTTTGAGAGCAACAGCGGCGACCCGCTTGTATGAAGCTGGGATTAACGAACAGCTACTGCAGTTTGATCCTACAAACGAAACAACGATGAACAGCATCAGAGAGTTAGTGAAATAATTCACGGAAATGTGGGAGATTCAGACGCTGGCAAATGTGTGAAAAAGATGAAAATTGTGATCCTTGTTCTAAAAATGATTCCGCCAGCGGTGTATCTAGTGAGATTAACATTTTATCGAGAAATATGGGTTTCTCTTTTACATTTTGATATGCTGTTAGATATATTTTTCAACATTCATAGAATGGATCTACCATGACCAGCATTCATTTATGAAATAAATAGAATGTATAAATGTATAAAATGTGTGAAAAGTTTGAGACGTTTATTAATAAAGAAACTTCTTGATCTGCATGTTGTGAATTTATTATGCATCAGGGTATTGTGCGTCTTTTTTGCCCGACTATGATATATTGTTAAAAATTTCATATATAATGTTTGACATTTATGCGTAATTGTGTATCAAATTAAAAATAAATTTGCGTATTTTCATTACGAAAATAATTTGTGTTTTATGCATTTTTCTTGCTTTCAACATTTAAAACCTATACACTTAGTTACCTGTAATAGTACATTAAGTTGGAAAAAACTGTCGATTAAGTTATGAACTGACAGTTTTGTCAACTTAATGTAGGGTTACAGGTGACTTAATGTACAGGTTTTAAATATCCAAATCTATTATGATGTATAATGTACAAAAACACAAAATTTAACGCTACTACAACATGTACAATAAAATACACAACTGATTTTGTTTATAAAAATAAATCCTCCGACGCCCCAGGGATTAATTAACGGTTTTAGAATTTTGAGAATTCTGTTTAAAGGAAGTCTTTGAAAATCTTGCAAAAATCCTGTGATAAAGTCGAGAGATACAATGTAGGACGTGCACTTGTGGGTAAAGTTGAATTGGACAACTAATTAGTTTAGTTCCGGTCATATACAGAAGAACCCAGTCGATGTTTTTCAACTTTTTTTTAAATTTGCCGATATATGGCTGAAATAGTGCCGATTCGGCATAAAACAATAATCAATCAACTTTTTAAGGTTTGAATTTTTAATAGCAATTCTCTGTAACCACTTAAACTTCTTTGCCACGCATGGTCACCGATTTTTATGAAACTTTGCCCATTATTACAACTTGACACCAGAAACATATATCAAATAAAATTTCGTTGCTATGTGTCTTGGTTGCCATGGTAACAGCCAGAAAAGTTGAAAAAATTGAGATTTTCAGCTACTTTAAATCTTTATTAAGCCTTCATCAAGACTAAGAAAAACAAACAAACCATTCTCCCAAAAACATGACACCTTGTTGCCACTTATGCTATAAAGAAACTATTTAGAATTTATCTCTAAGTAAGTGGTAACCATGGGTACATTTGGAATACATTTTAGATGCTGAAAAATGCTGAAAAACGCTCTATAGTCAAAAATGATAGATTTTACATGATCAAACTCAATCAACAACGTAAGAAAAACAATGAAAAATATTTGACCTCATGTAATTAGGTATTGGCAATATTATTCTAAAAATAACTTTCATGGTTCCCATGGTAACAGAGTGTCACCATGCAAAATTCGTTGCTTTGATTGGGTTAATGCTACTATCGTGAGGAAAAAACAATAAAATTCATGACTGGCACATATGCATCCTTAGGACCTTGTAACACCGACAACATAAAAAAAAAATTGAGATTAATTCTTACTTTGCAGTGTAACCATGGAAACAACGTACTAGTTGTTTAAAGTGATATTTTTTTGCTGATTTAGGAATTTACTAACCTTTTAATCAAGAAAAATATTATTTGAATCACCTTGAATAGTACTTATCTCGTAGAACTAAAGTTGAATATCATATATTGATAATGGTTGTTGAAAATACAACACTGTTGCTATGGTTACCAAGAAGAGAAAATGTTCAATTTTGTTAATTTTTTGTCAATATTAGACCCTATGTTTTTTCGCCTTATTTCCATAGCAACGCACTATTTAAAGAATTGAAATTGAATTTTTTGAAATGTGAAAATTAGGGTCACACCAAGGCCTTTAAAAATTGATCATCAGTTATATAGAAATATGCTTTTTAAAAAGATAGGATCAGATTAAAACACTAAGAGAGTAAATTTAAAATCCCTTCGTGGTATTAAAACCATGGCAACCATTGCCAACCTATAAGAAATATCATATTTCGTCTTGGTATATGTTACAAGGATCTCTTCTCTATTATTTGCTTGCATTTCAACCTATAATTGTTTTTATTCTTAAGTGTATGACTTTATAAAATTAAATGAACAAAATTATTACTTTTGAATACTTTGTTTCCATAGTAACATATGTTATAGATGATTTACCAAACATGTTTATCATGCATTTAAGATACCACGCCTTCAACTTTCAGAAACAGTCATTGCCACTTGTTTGCTTTGCTGCAAACGTTAACTGTGGGACTCTGAACATGTTGAAAAATGCCATTTTTCAAACTTTAGGACATGTTGCTATGGTAACCATGACACGTAGCAACCAATTTTTGCCTGATTTGAGTTTACGGTATCAAAGACTTTTATCATAGAGAGTTTGGAGAAATTTTATTTGAAGTATGAAAGAGAGCAGCTGGAGTCAGTGTTAAACTTGATTTATCATTACATAAAGTGTCAAATAAGCTAGTTAAGCTGATTGATGATTTATATACAAAATATCTTAATGATTTATACTCCCTTTATCAACTTTTTAAATTTTTTTCTATGGTTTTAGAAAAACTACAATATACTATAATAGTTCAGTCCGAAGTCCAAATGAGCAGCTAGAGTTAGTGCTTAATTTGAACATAAGGTGACAGATAAGCTGATTAAATTATTGATGCTAAAAACACTTGGTTTTGATTGACGGAATGTTTTATTCAAGTTTGTGTGATCCCGTGGCTGTCAACATCTCATTCGTTAAACCCTGAGCTGTCTTCTAAATATTAAAGATATATGTAACTCAGTACACGTTCATCAACGAAATAATTATATTTAAAATATTTATCGGGCTCGAGATTAATTTATTACATACCCGGAAATAAGGAACAAAGGCTTTTTTAAAAAAAAAAAAAAAAACTTTTGATGTGTTTAATATTTTTCTACCATTAAATTCTAACAATTTTGAAAAATAATATATCATAACAGTGATGCTTGTCGATATTTTACAAAATGCGTATGAATTTTATAGTGATGGGCATTCATATCCATAGATTTTATTGGATTGAAAACACGTGTTTAGGAATGAAAGCAAATTACAGTATTTCACTGTATAATATTTTCTGACAAACATGTCTAGTCAAGACGGCTTGCAGGACTTGGTAGAAGAAATGCTTCGCGGTGGAAGCTCAACCTCAACATCACTTATGCGGTTTGAGTTCATGAGAGTTGCCTCCTTCCATAATTTTCCCGATGGTCTACTAGTCAGCGCACTCCGTCTTGCCAGAGCTGGGACTTACTACACTGGATATGGCCGTGAGTGTCGATGTTACTTCTGTGGATTTAGTCAGAGTGATTGGAGCTGTGGGATTAATCGATCTCACTTCGATCATTCGTTTGACGGTAGCACAACGTCAACAAATGTACCTATTCCCAGGGTATATGTAGAGGAGATAACAGGCGAACCTCAGTCTGTGACACCGGAAGTTAGTGAATATCGCCCATTACCGATACAGCGAAATGATGAATCTGCAATCTCAAACGCTGGTCTTAGCAGGTCGATTCTGCAGAATAACAATAGCAGATACACAGACAGATTGAATACTTTCACAAACTGGCCAAGTCAAATATCCCAGAGGCCATATGAGTTGGCGGCGGCTGGATTTTTCTACTCTGGCCGTGGGGATAGAGTTCAGTGTTCTTTCTGTGGTGGACAACTGCATCAATGGGAACGATCTGACGTCCCTTTCCATGAGCACCTCCGTTGGTTTCCTGACTGTCCATTCGTTAAGCAATGTTTTCAGCAGGTAGTGATGTTTATAAGCACTGAAATATGTTCGCTGCAATTTTTTTAATGTATAATACTATCAGGGACCTATATACTAACCTGATACTATGCATGTGTTAACGTTTTAAGTTATAATGTTTTCGTTAGGGAAAATGACTTTTTCTGGATTTTGTATTAATACAAAAGAAAGAATTATTATCTTTATGTTTAAAAAATATGTACATCTATCTGAATTTTTATATATGGGATTTTAAATCTAGTTTGGCTGATGAAATCGTCGTAATGGTAGCTATAGGGATGTTCATATTAAATTACAGCCATTTAGCATTGTACCTACAAGTGTGCCATCAGGTGTCGACCTCAGGGTAATCAGAAAGGTTTTACAATATGGATACGACCAAACAGATATTAAGAAAGCAATCTGTGAACTAAGCAGCAGAATGGGTAAGTTAAAATATCAAATTTCTTAATGAAATTGTTAAATTTCTAATTTGACAGAAATGAAAGATAACTTGAATATGTGGCTGTGCTCAGGGTTTGATTCAGTTTCTCAACCATCTACGAAGAAAGGCAAATTATGTTCTGAACCCTAAATTCCAGTAATTGTTTGAAATATAAAAGTAACCAGTTAAATTATTTTCATTGGGGGCTCATCTATATGGATATTTTTAATATTCAGTCACAGAAGAAATCACTGCATTGGAGATCCTGAAGTTTCTTTATCAGGGGGGACCACGAAACTGAGGAGTTTCATCATTCAAGTAAAAAAAAAGCCTCATTATATTGAACATTAAATTTTTACTGGTATTATAAAAACCCTCTGATAGCCATAAATCTTTTTTCTTGTTCTTTTTTTTTTTACATTTCAGATTTTGGGCCTTGTGTGGTCTGTGTCAGTGAGAACAGGGGCACGCTGTTCCTACCTTGTACTCACATCTGCTGCTGTCGTGGTTGTGGACAACGGTGCTGTCTGTGTCCACTTTGTAGATGCAGAGTAAAGGCGCGGATCAAGGTGTATCCCTCATAAAGAGGAATTCAGAATACCATGTGCCAAAGTTATTTGTTAAGATTTGTTTTATTTATGTATAGATATATATAATTTTATAAAATACATGCAGGTATTAACTACATTGTTTTGTACACATGTATAAACTTATGATTTTCTTTCATTTGAAACAAATGATGAATATTTACTTTTTGTTAAGTTTTATTTGTTTGTTTGTTTCTCTTATTAGAAAACATTTCTGGTTTTGATTTTGATTTTTTTTAAATTCAGAGTTACATATGTACAAGTGGTGTCGCTCCCTGATACACAATGTGTTGTTATCATTATACTTGTATGTACAGATTAGGTTGCATGGTAAATTAAATCCAAGAATTATGCGATTGAATGCCCATGTTCGTAAACCAATTGTCTTTCAAACGTTTATTATACGCAGTTTTAATTATTTATATCTTATTAAAAGCTTGTCTATTTTATACTCTTTTGTTGTAATAAAAGTTTAGGACTTTTGTGTACTTTTAGTGCAGATATAAACGACATTGTTGAATGAATTCGACAATCATTGTTGCTGAATTATTGAAATCTTTCCGATAATGTACACTTCTTTATCACAGCTTTGATCAAACCACAAATTGTAGCAATCGTTTAATGAAATAGGTAAGATAACGAACAGTGATCGGTGTCAAAAAAAAATTACTACAAACAATGCATATCTGTGAACAGGACATAAAACACCGACCCCTGGTAATTTCAGAGATGGGATCAGGTGAAATAAATGGATAGAAGAAATATTTATTTGACGTATATTTGTATACATTTGATAAAAAGTTAAGGAACCTATATATGTATACTAACTGATGACATACTCAATGTGATCGTGTACGATTCAAGTGATCTTTGATTTCTGACCGGTCGGCAGAGGATGCTCGCTCTTCCATGGCACCTGATCCCACCTTTGAATAAAAGGTCCGTGTTTGCTCTGCTCCTATTTTGTAACGTAAAATGGACTTTTGAGCTCGAATACTGTTCGTTATATCCACATATAAAGTATAAAACAATATTAAGTTGACAAATTCAAAAAAAGCTCATGCTAAATCTTCGACACTGGCATCGGGTTCACAGAATTTTAGAATCAGGACCATTTCTAAGTAATTGTTATCTCTATCTGGACAAAATTACACGAATGATATATCTAGATATGCCCACTTTCAGAATAACTTCAGATGCTGGATCTAACATATTTTGCCATGAGTGTCCAGGTTAAAGTTTCTGGAGCAGGAACTATAAGCCCTTTAGTTTTAAAACTTTCTCGGGTGGTGCAAATATGGGGAGGTCCACTGACATAACTGCCTCCGTTTTTGGTCCGGTCATACATTTTGGAGCAGGTCCATTGCTCAGTAACCTATCATGCCAAAACTATCGCGAAAAATGCAATTGTGAACTATCGTGAAAATAGTCCTGAATCGGACCAACGTTTGCAGCTGATTGACCACGGTCAATTGTATGGAGGAAGTCCATTTTCAGTACACTTTAAGCTCTATCTGGACCAAACTTGCATTGATGATGCATTCCAGGAGTACACACTACCACGCTTGCTTCTGATATGGATCGACAGATCCATTTCCAAGAAAATATAAGACCTATCAGGATCAAATCTGCATGGATGATGCATTTATAGGGATGCAGATTACCAGTGTTGCTTTTAATACTGGGTCTGACCACATTCTCCGGATGAATGACCTGCAGGCATGTTCACAAAGTTATCTTAGGACTAAGATGTGTCCTAAGAACGTCTTAGGAAATATCTTAGTCTTAAGTCAGTTTATCGAAGCTTTCCTAAATCTAGGACCTCGTCATAAGTTCGTCCTAACTTTAGGACAACGTACATAAATCATATCCTAGGATCATCCTAAATTTGTGGTGATGGTCATTTTTCTGAGCATCGCAAGTATAAGCGACCATTTCCTCAACAGTCTGCGAATTAGCTGACATGGCCGTAGGAACTTTCATGTTGTAAATTTTGAATTTACCGGGTGGCAGTAAATACAAAATTTACAAAATTGTCATGTTGTAAATTTTGTATTTACTGCCACCCGGTAAATTCAAAATTTACAACATGACAGAACCGGGGGGGGGGGGAGGGGAGCTGTGCCCCCCCCCCCCAATAATTTTGCCGATATATTAGAATATTATAGAAAAGCATAGCTAATACATGTATATGCTTGTGCCCCTTCAATAATAACGTCTGATGACCTTTTCTTTTTTAGAATGTCAAGGAATTTTTGGAAGATGATAGTGCCCCCCAATGAAAATATATGGTTATGCCCCCCCCTCCCCCCCCCCCCCCAAAAAAAAAAAAACACACACAAAAAAAACTGAAATTGCTTCCTACGGGCCTGGCTGAAGAATTACACAAATCGTTTTTCCCCACAAATGTTATACATGTACCAAGCCCTCTTCTTTGCAACATTAGGTACAATGTTCGATAATCTATTTTTTCACTTCTCTTCTTATTCATAATGCAGGCACAACAGATCCCTTTTCAAATCGGCGAAGGTGGCAGAAAAATAATTGACTTTTAGGGAGAGGGGATAGAAAAATATAATTGACTAGCCAAAAAATAAAATTCCCTGAAAAACTTTGACATAAAAAAAATAAATGAGGGGTCAGTCCCATCCCCTCTCCCAATACCCCCCCCCCCCCCCACATTCATACACGTTTTATGTGTACGGAACCAAAAGTGAAAATTATTCTCATATTTTTATCTATCGCCTTGATATTAGTAAATCGGGGTATATTGTTTTGATTTACATCAATTAAAACTGTTGAGAGTTCCAAGACTCGGGGATTAAGCATTGCCTTTAAAATAATGAAACATTTCCCTGTTTGAATTCTATAGTACATGGTTTCGAGCCCTGCAAAATTCATTTTATATTTTTTATCAGTTTATTTTTCAAAAAATAATTCAGACTTTCATAATAGTGTACATCATATCATAGTCTTCATTGTGTTAAAATTCTGAATTCAAGATTATTTTTGATCTTTTGAAATTATTGCTGAAACACCATTTTTAAAATAAAAATGAAATTAAATCTTTCACTTTGATAGAAAAAAAATCGCTTGTTTCGTTGCGACTTACATGGGTTATTAAACATTTCTTTTATAATTTTAAAGATGTTAACATTAAAATTACACTGAAGTCATCATGCAAATGAATAATTTTTTGTTTTATAAAATAGAAGTTTATTTGGCTGTAAATGTCTCCCAAATTTTATATGTACATGTATTTAGAAACAAAAGTGTTCATGGTATGTTAGGATGTCCTAACTTAAGATGTTCATAAGATACCGTCGAGCTACATCTTATGATCTGTCCTAAGTTGATCGTAGGATGTTCCAAACTTTCTTCCTAAGTCATGTCTTAGGAACAATCTTAGGACGTATATCTTAGGAAAGTTTCGTGGATATGCCTTCAGGAGCAAGTCCACTTCCAAGAAACTGTAAGTCCTATGGGGACCAAAACTGCATGAATGAATATTATAAGCAGTGAAAGGTTTGAAGCTCTGCCATTCATTCATCTTTCAGTAATCTTTAAGTTTGAATGAATGGTGTAGGTCCATACAATGACCATATCTGCTTTTGATGCTAAATCATAAATGAAATTTTCTTGATTGTTAAACAGGTTATTGGTTGAAGTAGGTCAATTCCCAAGTATCTGTGCTATCCAGATTAACCTTGCATGGTTGTTGCACCTAGGAATGTACACTACCAGGACATTTATTTGATGTGATTTTCTTATGTATATGTGACACAGTGAAATTTGTAATTATTTTCATCAATTTATTATGATGAATTAATTTATTGTTTTCATTAATGTTTATCAAATTATTTGCAACACATGAGTTTATTTGATATGAATATATTTATAGTACTGTAAGTTACTTTCTAAGTTACTTTTATTTAAAGTGGAAAAGCATTTTTATTTTGGACGGCTTCGTTTCTAAATTGTTTCAGCGCAATATACATTTTTTGACTTGAGCTTCTAAAATGCTGGAAAATGCTCCATTTCGAGCCATTTCTACAATTTTTTCTCTCTAATGCGAGGGGGACATCTCTTCCATACCCTCCCCCTTCGGGCCTCAACCCCCCCAAACCACCACCACCACTTCTGGGTCCGCCACTGGGAAATCTTGCCATTTGTAAAATTTATTTTAAGTCTAGGACCAAACATTTTTAAATACTTGATATTCTATGTCAAAGTTAACATTTAACATTATTGATTTAATACAATTTTGCCAATATTTTTTATGCTTTGAAATAACATATTGATTATATTCCTCAGTAATAATGATATAATGATATCTAAACAGATATATTAATATATTATTGATCTTTTTTTCTCTGTAATGAACAAATGAACTCCTGATCTAATCGGATTCTTGACATTATTGCTTTGGCTATTACTCAATTTCCGGTTTAGTGTACGCATGTTCGTAATTTTAGTACTACACGTGAGTTTTGTAATAAAGTGCCGATCGCAAACAAACACATCGAATAAAGATGTCATGGCTTTTTGGAATGGGAGGTGGGGGACAGGGACCCCCACAAGTCCCCATCCCACCTCCAGGAGGTGATGGGAAGGGAGGTTCTGAGCCGCCAAAGCAAATGACGAAGTCGGAGATGGAAGCCTATAGATTTGACTCTGCAGCTCTAGAACGTGCAGCACAGGCTGCTAGAGAGCTAGAAAAATCAAGTAAGTGTCTCAGTTATTATTTTTGTGACTTTGGATTTAATTTTCATTAGTTTATTATTAAATATAGTGCAAAGCAGTCCAAAATTGTGGAAAATATTTTTCTGATGAAATGGTTTCACGCCTGTCAAACGGTTCAAGGTTATCAAGTAATTCGCGAATCTTTAAGAGACTTAGAATAACTGTGACTACTTTCATGACTTAGGAAATGCCAAGGAAGCACTGGATTTGTCAAAAATGCAGGAAGAAACGAAACAAATTGAAGCGAAGGCGAAATCGAAGGTAAAAATAAATGCAAAGGTTTTGATCAGTTTATCAGCTGTTGATGTCAAGAAACGCGGTTCACAGTGGGAGAGGTGTGTGATGCAACGGAGAAAATAAAGTTCAGAATAGACATAAACAGCTTTTAAAAAGATATATAGTTGTAGAAAAAAATTAAAAACTTGACAAAGAGCATGAACATTAGAGAAGAATATTTAATCCGAATTTCCTTAAAGTAAATGAATCATTTGGGTGCTAGTGAAAACTGCACCTGATGAAAATGACACTCCACAATTATGAAAATGGCACTTAAGATTATGCAAAACAGCATATTCAACATATAATTCAGTCATTTTACACATTAAGCCATTTAATGGCTGTGTGCAAATGTTTGATAAGAGCTGCATGGTGTGAATTTTAGGAAATGGAAGCTCATATTGAACAAATGAAACTCCAAGCAATAAAAGTCCAAGAAGAGGAGAGGAGAAAAACAATGTCTAAAGAAGCCGAGCTTCACCAACAGAAAGCACAGTACCAGGATCAGCTGGCGCGTCGGAGATACGACGATCAACTCTCACAACAGGTAATGACCTTCTCACTGAGCAGGTAGTTAACGGCCAACTGGCGCGTCGGAGATACGACAATCAACTCTCACAGCAGATAATGACCATCTCACTAAAAAGGTATTTAACGACCAACTGGTGTGTCGGAGATACTATGATCAACTCTCACAACAGGTAATGACCATCTCACTGAGCAGGTATTTAATGACAGGGTTGTCCCTAAGAGCAGGGGGCATTAAAAGAGTAGAAGGAAATCTGGGGTTCTCCTAACAGGGAAGTGAGGAGGAATACCAAAGTAACCGGGGGATTAAGTCATTATAGGAGGAGAAATTCCCTGGCCCCTGGGTCTTAGGGACAACCCTGAATGACCAACTGGAGTGTCAGAGATATAACCATCAATTTTCACAGCAGGTAATGACCATCTCACTGAGCAGGTATTTAACGACCAACTGGCTTTAAAAGAGTCCATCAGATCAACTCAGACAACATTGAGTATTGAATTGGTACGGAATTGAGAATTCTGTGTCTGGTAAAATACAGATTCAGTCAAACCTTTTTATCTCAAAGTTGACTGGATTTGGGATTAAACTTAAAAATATTGTTGAATTCAGGATAACTGTGTAAAAAAACATGAAGAAAAAGTTGTTGGGACTGTCAGATCACTTCAACATTTCCATGATATTTGAGATAATTGTGTTGGAGACAAAGAAGTTCAACTGTATAGAATACATAATGTAGTATTGCATTTCTTGATTATATAAGTTGTAAAAAATGGCACAGTAGATTCATGTTTTTGTGTTTTTTGCTAGGCAAGACTGCAGGAGGAAAATCTTAGAAAACAGGAAGAATCGGTAGCTAAACAGGAACAAATGAGAAAAGGTACGCACTGGACAAGGATTACAAAGAATTGGTAGAAAACGTTCATAGAGATTGGAATTGTTATGTATGAAATAAAAGAATATAAATAATTAAAGTATGGATTTAAACTTTAATTCGATTATGTAAATGATCTAATGCAGCCACACTGGAGCATGAATTTGATCTCAGGAGGAAAAATGAGCAAGCCAGGATAGAGGCAGAAATGAAAGCTCGGGGTCAGATGGAGAGAGAGAACATTGATCTGATAAAGGAACAAATCAGGCTGAAGGCAAAGGAGAAAAGAGAGACTGTCTTAGAATCCATCAAGTATGATTTTAAACACACATTTTAATAATGTTGAGATATTCTTAAAAGGCAACAAAATTTTATATGAATCATTTCATGAATATCACTTTATATTGAATCATGCAACTTTAATTATACAGAAAACAAAATTAGCATCCTAAACATAATGGCAAACCTACTTTAACTTCAGGACAGCCGGTTCAGTGCTTGGTACAGGATTTCAGGCCTTCATAACAGATAAAGACAAAGTGGCAGCTACAGTATGTAAACCTTGTCAGTAATGAGCTGATTCTGGGCAAATGAGATTTGTAGTGGGTCTTAGAGCATACATTATATGAGTGGTTGAAGCACTATAGCTGAAAAAAGACTAATTTAAAAAAAAGGATATTTATTTTTGACTGAAAAAAAATTGCATGTATCCCAGAGTACCCAAATGTTAATACATTCAATCTTTGTATATAGATACATAAAAGAAGAATTTAGTGTAATGTTCTTTCTGTAATAAACTATCTCTAATAATTAGTAGGGAATTATTAAATAATATGTAAAATAGAGTCCTGATTACATTCCTAGGCTGTCGGGCTAACAATGGCAGCTGTGGGGATATACGCAGCCAAGCATGGTACTGGTGTGGCTGCACGTTACATTGAGGCCAGGCTGGGCAAACCGTCACTGGTCCGAGAAACCTCCCGACTGACTGTAGGCGAGGTCATCAAACACCCAATAAAGGTCAGAATGACAGAAGATAAATTTTAACATGAATATCCCATCCAATTCTGACTGGTCATACACATTATGTGATGAGAATGAAAGTGTGGTATTCTGTATTTCAGCCAGTTTGCATTTGTTGTTCAGTATAGACTTGTATTTATTTTCAGACAATCAAGAGGATTGTCAATAAACCTGAAGACGCACTGAAAGGAATTATTTTAAAAGTAAGCCTATATATATATATATATATATATATATATATAAAAGTGAGAATACATGGGGCAAAGAAGAATTTTAATCTGGTTTTATGCCAAAAAAATTGTCAGTGAGTATATCTTATTTTTTTTTTGCTTCAGCCAGAACTTGAAGAAAGACTTAGAGATGTTGCCATAGCAACTAGGCATACAAAGAAAAATAAAGGATTTTACAGAAATTTGTTGATGTATGGCCCCCCTGGAACAGGAAAGACAATGTTTGCCAAGGTATGGTGTTTAGGGCATGGCAGAGTTGTCTCTCTTTATTCTTTTGAAAAATATATTGTTTTTTGATCACTAAAATTTATTCATCACTTTTTAGGAACAACCAAAAATATTTCATATATCTGAAAGCATTTAAATAGATGTAAGACTTAAATTATCATGTAGCAATAAGTTTCATAATGTGTCTTCTATAAAATAATGAAAGTGGAGTATTACATTATCTTTACAATTTTTTTTTTTACCAAAAGCTTAAGAAGTAATTCATTTATCAGAGGAATTTTTGGAGAATATAACCAATGGTGGAGAGATTTTTTGGAAAATAAAAACAAAGCCTGAAGGGCAAAGTTTTCATTATGTAAAAAAATCTCAAGATTGAAGGATATATTTTCCAACAATTCTGACAACAGGGAATTATTTCCATTCTGTTACGGCAAGTTTTTTAAACTCCTATAAATAGAACAGGAGAAGCTGGATTACAGTGTTATCGGAACAGAAGCATCTTGTGATGTTGTAATTGAATGCTACTTCTTGTTCATTTGGATTTCACACAGTAGAAAAACTCCTGTGTAATCCGAATCCAAAGTAAACTTTTTTCCACCAATTTTTCTCACAATCAGAAGAAGCCTTGATCCCTTTCCCAAATGAACACAGTCAAAATTAGAGGAAACCTATTTAAAATTTCTGATAATTTGTTGATGATGTTTTTGATTTTTTGGAGATTAATAGCCACAACATTTCTTTGACCTTCTCAATAACCGTAAATGAATATCAATCATATGTGATACAGGAACAATTTGTTAGTATGCCTTTTTCATTTCAAGGTGAACTATTGATGACAATACTATTTAAATATCTTTGTTATGAAAATTGATGTGATATGTTGTTAATTCTAGAGCCTTGCCCAACACTCTGGAATGGACTACGCCATAATGACAGGGGGAGATGTAGCCCCCATGGGCAAGGAGGGGGTCACTGCCATGCACAAAGTGTTTGATTGGGCCAAGGCCAGCAGGAGAGGGTAAGATTTCAATCTGAAAAAATAAAAAAAAAGTGAAAATTAAGGTTACCATTTCAGTTGTTTTTACTATGACAAGAATTATTTATTTCAGGATTTATTTGAAGCATTAAGGACATACGCAACGTAGTTTGTACTTTATTGTCTTTTACCCTGGAGTTGAAGAGTTCCAATACTTAAAGGAACTGTTTGCTACATTTTAATGTCTATATATGATGTTGAACACTCCTTAAACAAGTTTGGATAAACAAAACATCTAGAATATATGCTTAGAAATTTTTGTATATTTTTCTTTGAATTATACAAGAATTTTCTTCAATTTATATCTTTTCAAAACCTCTGGTAATGCATGTTTATTTTTTGTCTACGAACATCTCATGGCACTTTAATCTTTAATTAAGAATATCTTGAAAAATTATCAGTGGGTAAGGTACTTTACGTATGTCCTTAACAATTATATTTGAATTTCTAGAGAAGTCAAGGAAAATTGAACTACATATAATATGTGTTTGGTATTCATTTCCTTCATTTCTTAATCATATTGTTCTCTGTCTTTAAGATGAGGTAGGTATATACGAGGGGTTATCAAAAAGTTCGTGGACTAGCGTCATAAAATTAAAACCGCTGAAGATACATCAATGAATTTTTAAACATTAAATAAGCATCTTCTTTTCTATCTGTAAAATAAACTATAAATCATAAGTTTTATTTTTTAGTGAATTGTAAATGTTTTTGTAAGCAATGGTATGTCGAGGCGGCGCAACCTCGAACATGACGTATTTTCTACCTGAGTGTAACTGTGAAAAACTCTTCTAATATGGGCATTTGTCATCAGAAAATCCCATTAATTCACTCGTGTGATATGACACAAATTTTCCGTAAAAGTTGCAATTTTTACCTCATTCTGTATGTTCTATGAAATTTCATCGTAAATTTTATAGGGAATATCCAAACAATAAAGGGGTTAAAAATGACGTCGAAAGGGGGGTAGGGTGTCATTTTACAACATTCTATAAAGTTTCAGCCCCTGGAAAACCTGACATAGACCTAGAAAATGTTAAAACAGGCTACAGAGAAATAAAATACACCCAGAGTACAGTGTACTTGTGTTTAAATACCAAAACAGATTCAGCAAGAAAAGAGACACACGGTTAATGTCGATTTGTAGTCAGGGTGTCCAAAGTCAGACACGTCGAAAAGCGACGTTGATCATTGGTTGACCTTGAACTCAGGCAAGAAAATAATGCTGGCAAAATCAAGCGAGGATTTTTTCCTATGTATAGATTTAATATTTACAATATTAATGCATTGAAATCAGGTGTTCATGACATTGTGAAGTCATATAAACAAGACGGGATAAGGTCTTTACTTTACTCCAGAGAATCTCATCAAGATAAGTGTATTGAGGCAGAGGGAGCGGGCATTGAGAAATAATGACGTTGTCGGACTTCATGAAACTAAACGGCGACAGCGCCGAGTGATCATATAATGCCCTTTTTATTTAATGATAATTTGGCAAATTATCAACATATCAAGCTGAAATTTTCAACACTTCTTAAACTTTTGTTGTTTTATGTTCCCTACAAATTTTGTAATCAAAAACTACATAGTATTAATTTTATCGCATCAGTCCACGAACTTTTTGATAACCCCTCGTAAGTCACATTGTACTGTTTATTAATGAGATGGTAACTGTTTCTATTTCTAGGGTACTGTTATTTGTAGATGAGATGGTGACTTTTATTTTTAGGGTACTGTTATTTGTAGATGAGATGGTAACTGTTTCTATTTTTAGGGTACTGTTATTTGTTAATGAGATGGTAACTGTTTCTATTTCTAGGGTACTGTTATTTGTAGATGAGATGGTGACTTTTATTTTTAGGGTACTGTTATTTGTAGATGAAATGGTAACTGTTTCTATTTTTAGGGTACTGTTATTTGTTGATGAGATGGTAACTGTTTCTATTTAGAGGGTACTGTTATTTGTAGATGAGATGGTAACTGTTTCTATATTTAGGGTACTGTTATTTGTTGATGAGATGGTAACTGTTTCTATTTTTAGGGTACTTTTATTTGTAGATGAGATGGTAACTGTTTTTATTTTTAGGGTACTGTTATTTGTTGATGAGATGGTAACTTTCTATTTAGAGGGTACTGTTATTTGTAGATGAGATGGTAACTGTTTCTATTTTAGGGTACTGTTATTTGTTGATGAAATGGTAACTGTTTCTATTTTAGGGTACTGTTATTTGTTGATGAAATGGTAACTGTTTCTATTTTAGGGTACTGTTATTTGTTGATGAGGTGGTAACTTTCTATTTAGAGGGTACTGTTATTTGTAGATGAGATAGTAACTGTTTCTATTTTAGGGTACTGTTATTTGTTGATGAAATGGTAACTGTTTCTATTTTAGGGTACTGTTATTTGTTGATGAGATGGTAACTGTTTCTATTTATAGGATACTGTTATTTGTAGATGAGATGGTAACTGTTTCTATTTTTAAGGTACTGTTATTTGTTGATGTGATGGTAACTGTTTCTATTTTTAGGGTACTGTTATTTGTTGATGAAGCAGATGCCTTTCTTAGAAAAAGAAACAAGGTACACATACATATACTTGAACAATACAAATAAGCAGAAATATCTCCTTCATTGTTTGACTGTAAAGCCCTCTATTACTGATGCCTGTAATCTGAATCTGTCATTACAGGAACTCATCAGTGAAGACATGAGAGCCACGTTGAATGCATTCCTATACTGTACAGGAGAACAGTCCAACAAGTTTGTGTCATTTTGATTCTATGATCCCCTGTGGACAAATATTTTTTGCACTTCATGGTTACTGCTTATTTAAAAAAAACAAAGATATTTGTATATGATTATATGCTTCCTGATTCTTTCATTTACAAAGCATTCTTGCATATAATTGCTGTGTATTTGATATGCAAGTAAACATTCTGTATATTTGTGCTCGAGGAAAGTTACAAGCATTAATCTTTATTTTTACTCGATGCAGAACATGAATCTGACAGAAAAAGAGTTAAAACTTGTTACAACTTGGTCGGCATAACTTTTATCTGTACATTTATGAGGTTTGACATTAACTCTTATGAGTATTGGACCAGTCAGGATACTCCTATATTTTTACTAGCTCAGACTATAGAACCACTAGCAATGACTGTGTCAGGATCAACTACAGTTTTTGATAGGCTGTTTAATAAACAAAGCTATTTTTAACAATACAGCTGCGACCCTGTATATTACAGTTTGGCAGAAAATAGCAACTGTGTCATGTTGGGAAATTTTCCTTTACATAGTGATGGCTGGGAATTTATAAATAATAAAATAAGTTAAAATATTTATTACGAAAGTCCAAAATAGGGGTTTACATTTATTTTATCCACACAACCAGTCGGTTTAGTTCACATACATTTTACACGACCAGACCACTCATTTACTAGACTGGCTCTGTCAGACTTTTCTTAGTGCCGAACTCTGATTTACTGTAAGTTAACAAAGTGACATTTTTTACCTTTAGATTTATGTTGGTATTAGCAAGTAACCAACCAGAGCAGTTTGACTGGGCAATTAACGACAGAATTGATGAAATGGTCGAGTTCAGTGTCCCTACGCTGGATGAGAGAGAGCGATTGGTCAGGCTCTACTTTGAACGATTTGTCCTTAAACCTTCAATGGAGGACAAAAGGTTAATTCTATTAATGTATATGCAGCATTAGAGAAAGGCTACATAAGAATTCACTACTCTTTCATAGTTTGTAACAACATTCCTGTAAAAAATTCCTGTAAAGAAGATCTTTATATTTTCTTAACCTTTATGAGTAAATATGTGGGCTTAATCAAGGAGGCTGTTAAATATTTTTCCGTGTTAAAAATTGGGGGGGGGGGTTATCACTAGAGCTTATTTGGCAGTAAGACAGGTTTATTTACTGTTTGCCGATGTCAGTTGTTAGAGCACCTGTTTAACAGTTCTCAAATCCAGTTTAAATATAAGTTAAGGCCAAGGCATGATTTTTGTTCATATATGTATATTTGGAGTATTAAAAGACATTTAAATGTGGTAGTAGGAAAGATTTAACCAGGAGCTGGGGTTCAAATTTTAGTCTTGCTTCTTCGACTTTCTCTTTTCTGTTTCCCTTAGATTGTCTTAAATGTTATATTGAATTTGTGAGTTTTATATTCATTGCCTTGAATCCAGTGTTTATTTTGATGTTTTATTGATAGGTTAAAGCTGGCAGAGTTTGACTACAGTGCTAAGTGTACGGAGATATCCTTAAAAACAGAGGGCCTGTCAGGAAGAGAGATTTCAAAGCTGGGAGTAGCCTGGCAGGTAAGAGATACTAATTCTGTACAGTTAAGGAAGTCATCACAGTTAAGGAAGTTATCACAGCTAAGGAAGTTATCACAGTTATAGACGATAACACATTAAGGAAGTTATCACAACTAAGGAAGTTATTACAGTTATAGACGTTAACACATTAAGGAAGTTATCACAACTAAGGAAGTTATCACAGTTATAGACGTTAACACATTAAGGAAGTTATCACAACTAAGGAAGTTAACACAGTTATAGACGTTATTACATTAAGAAAGTTATCACAACTAAGGAAGTTATTACAGTTATAGACGTTAACACATTAAGGAAGTTATCACAACTAAGGAAGTTATCACAGTTATAGACGTTAACACATTAAGGAAGTTATCACAACTAAGGAAGTTAACACAGTTATAGACGTTATTACATTAAGGAAGTTATCACAACTAAGGAAGTTATCACAACTAAGGAAGTTATCACAACTAAGGAAGTTAACACAGTTATAGAAATGAACACAACTATAGAAGTCAACACAGCAAAGAAAGTTACACAGCTATAGAAATGAACACAGCTAAGGAGGTTAACACAGCTAAGGAAGTTAAGGTGATAGCTGGTGTTGACAGCAGCCTGTAAACCAACTTTGCAAGAAAAAGCTGCAGAGTTGTCTGCACATCTTTTGATACAAACCCTTTATTATCCCATTGCAACAGAGCTGGAGGGGATATGTTATGAATTTGTGTGTGTGTGTGTGTTAGTGAGCACTTGTGTGTTTGTTAAAGAGTGGGTGACTGTGCAATAGAAGTAATAATTTACATTGGGATTGATATTTGCTGACTCCCTTGGGATGGGATGCTCTCCTATGGGATGTGCTTGTTTGTGTATTAAAGTCTAATGTGTCATTAAGTATTGAAAATTGTCAGTTGGAGAAAGATTTTAGACTGATAAATCCTGATTAAAAGTTGCAGTGAATAACAGTTAAAAGCACTGTGTTTATGTTTAAAACTTGAAATCATCCTGGCATAGAATTAATGAGATATTTTTCTTCCTAATGGTTGATAGGTTGAAAAATATCCTTGAAGGTAAACGTCACCTCTAGACTTGGTATTGAAGATGTTTATCAGATGGGGGAGAAATTTCATGTTTATTTGTGTGAGGTTTTTCTTATTTGTAGGCAACGGCCTATGCCTCAGAGGATGGTATTCTAACAGAGCAGATGATTGATGATCGGGTTGATGATGCCGTCAGACAACACAAGAAGAAAGATCTTTGGCAACTCGAACAAGAGAAAAAAGAAGAACTAGAACTTGGTACAGCATACACATCAGAGAAAGACATGGCAGCTGATTTAACGGCTCCACAGAGCAAGCCAGGGGCAGACCAAACTAAAAAATTGAAAGCTGAGGCTGACCTCAGTAAAAAACAATCAAAAGATCAGATAGACAAAAGTTCAAAACCTCTAGAACCTAGCTAACAATAGTGCAACTGTAGAGAAATAAGTTTAATGAACTTCAATTTCTTTCAGTCCGTTAAAGAATTGGAAGCAAATAATATATAATAAGCTTAACGTGGTTGTTCTGTCAATTAATAAGGATATGTATGGCAACCAGTGTTAAAACCTAAATGAGAATATTGGTGAATATTCCATAAAATTAGAACTATATAGGTTATTTATAAGTATTTGCCATGTAGTAGATAGTTGTTTGATGTGCTTGGAGAGTCTGACTGTTTAGTTTTTATTTCGCAGCGAAAGAAAATAAGAGAATCTGTTGCAGAATTAGTATGTGTTAGGTATGTCCAAAGATTGTCTGCAATTCAGAATTACTGTCAAGATAAGAGTTCAGTGATAGGTGTATACATGTAATTATGTGTGAAGTGTTAGATTTTTAAACTGTCATGTGGATTTCAGTTTTTGTGAAAATCAGTTGTTTTAGGACAGATGTCAGGAAAATTTGTTTTCTCAAAATCTAATACATGTATATACATATTCATCTTCACACACTAATCAGATAAAAAATGAATTGTAAAATTAATGTATGAATAATAATACGTTTGAATATATAATTATATACAATGTATATTGTAGCTTTTCATATTATATAAACATTAGTATGTGAAAAACACATCTAATTTCATTTTGAAGCAATATGAGCTGCATTTTTGAGAATTTTATTTTGCTGTTACAAATGTGCTATCATGATAAATCTGTATGTAATTTAATCCTTTTTGATCAATTAGACTAAAGTGAAGTATTAAAGAACCACGCACGCTAACTATCGATTCCTGCCTACATTTTACAACCATTTAATTCAATACTAATGGCAATTTGGCTATAAAATCTTTGTTGAATGCAAAGAAGAGTTCAATGGTAATTTCTTAATAATTTTAATACCAGTGTTAAATAGTTAATTACTCTTTATGTCAGCTCTTTTTATAAGGAGGGTAGATGATGTTTTCCATTGAAATCAGGCTTGAAAGCATCAGCATATTTTAAAATAATCTTGGATATGGATAAATGTTCTTTAAATCTTTTCTTATGTTTTACACATATATAATTAAACATATGTAATTGATTAAATAAAACGTTTTAGTCGTAAACCCTTTCGAAATTGGTGAAAAAATGAGCATTTTTGTCGTTTTTTGTCTGTAAACATATGTTCCCCCCTGTGAAACACAAAAAGCTTTGGTATGAATTTGTGAAATAACAATTCATATTATCCGTAAAAAGGAATTTTTGTTTCACGGGGGGAAAGATGTTTCAAAAATATTTTCCGTTTTCCGTTGATTTCTATAGTGAAAAACACAAGTTTTACCAAAATTATAAAGTTATCCCTCTTTGTTTTCCCAAATAAGTTATGTTTTATGAAAATTCTTATAAATATCTATATGAATATGAAAAATCATTTAAATATGTTAACTTTTGAAAATTAACTTGGAGGTAGGCGGGAGAACAATACTATCGTTCGCAGTTCTTTTTTCTAGAAGAGAGATTTCTGTACAGTGGAATGTAGAGTAATTATTATAAAAGAAGTCAGTATTGTACAGGACGACAATAATGTAATTTCACTTCAGTCAAAGTTTTTAAATAGTAACTCTTCTTCCATCACAAATATGAACAACAGAAGTTTAAATTTCTGTCATTCAAATAGTTAATTACATGTACAATGTTGCAACAAACATTTCAGACGTCAAAGTTGCAGCTCATTTGCTTTAAGCATTGTATGATTGACAGTGTGAGTGACTTCATAAAATCAGTCAAACAGTTTGCTTTTCATTTGTTCCAGCTAGGGTACTTTAAATCCAACTCCTTTCATTCACATGTCGACACAATATAAACTGAAAGGATAAAGAAACGCAGGGTAACATAATCTGCGAAATATTTTTGACTGAGTGGCCGAAAATTATGAAAACTGGTCAGAGGTACATGTATATCTTGATTACTGTGCACTAAAATTGGTGTTTAAAATTACTCAACCGTGAAATGTATGACATCACGTGGGGAAAGTGGTCAAAAACGTGCATATCGATGATGACAATATTGTTGACACATTTTGTAGTACCACTTGATGCACTGGAGATATACACATCGTTTTTCCATATTTACAGTCAATATGAATTCCTTATAATCATGTAGGGCTGACAGAAGTTCCATTGGGTCAAGTAATTGTATTGCCTAATTGAAGAAAAAGGCAACAGCATGTTGTTGTGCAGTTTGTTATTAATTTTTCCACAGAAAAAAAAAGTTTTATCCCTTGTCGGAGAGGAACTGGAATGGTTTCCAACCATTGACGTTGGCGCGTAACAACGCCACTTCAAAACTGGGCTTTTCATATAGTGCCACTCGTGTAATCGCTTCGGCATTACCACTGAAACCGATATAATACAGTAGGCAATCATAATCACTGAAATCGATATAATACAGTAGACAATCATAATCGTTACATTCACCCTAAACTGAAAGAAACTGACTGCTCTATTTTGGTTCGTGAGCTTGTCAACTTTACGTCGGTGTTACTCTCACTCGCGCACGTGTGCATCGTATGCCTACTTTTTCAGCATGCATGTTCACCCCTGGGAAAATGTAGCCAGAGGTTGTCAAGACATTGTTGCAAACATTCGCATTTACCAAATCAGATGGATTCCTTATATGCTATCCCCTTCTCCAATAAAAAATCTTTGGGATTAAGTGGACCATAGGGTGTTACATGTAAGGCGTCCAGCTACTCTTTTCCAACTAAGGAGCTGCCCTTTCGGAAGGGTAAATTAATATCCCAATGAGAAAGATAAATGCACTTATGAACTCCTTGCAGAGGAGAATCTTAGGCTGTTAGAGATGCGCCTAGCAGATCATGAAAATTTTATTTTCACTTTTGGGGGGTACAGTCATATTAATTTCAATAACCATCAGTAACATAATTATCAGTCAAAATCGAATGAGATCTTGGTAACTTTCTGATTAAAGATGAGTTTAAATGTTATAGATAACAATACTGGAAAATACTTTCGAAAAAAAATAGAAGTAATTCACTTCAAAAGTTTACCCTGCGTTTCTTTTTCCTTTCAGTATATAATGATGAACTTGATATAAAAAACACCACAGAATTTGTTAATCTGTTTCATATTTGGATGTTTTGCTATCAAACTATAGACGGTAAAGGGAAGCCATCAACCGATAATTGTTAGCGTCTCAATATCAGTTGGCAAGGTCGTCGGACAATTTTGAAAGCAAATATTTTAGTGGAATTTTTCTTGTGATGATATAGCAACACGATAATTAAGGAGTGCTTAATTACCGGAATTAGTGAGTGTGTGCTTATATTCTACAGCCCATTCAATTCATTCGTATCTGAATACTGGGATTAGATAATGTTTTTAAAAAATCAATAAAAGTTTACTTGGTGTTATTCAGATTTCAGACAGATTTTTCTGATTATTAATGTGAAAGTGCATAATCTAGCTAAATTCGTAAACTAGGAACAGCAATGAAATAAATAAAAGGCAAGAATCTGATTTAGTTTTAAAACTGCAAGAAAACGCTAATGACATTAGTGGGATGTATGGTACTGAAAAGAGAAATTCATGTAAACTTATCTGTAAGTTTGAATTAATGAAGATGTTTTCAAAGGAATGATTAAGAAGTTCTTAAGTTGGTGAGAATATATCTCGAAACTCTCTTAATCTATTTTACCGCTTTAGCATAAACATGTTAATTTCCTTTGAAAACTGCAAAACTGCGCGTATCACATAGTGGAACTGAAATACTGTTCATAAAATGTTTTATGTTTTTTTCTATGGGTAAATTAAGAAAGACACCTGGCCTACTTAGGATCATGCGATTTTAGCATGTGAACAGACAGTTTCCGGTCCTCCATTAGTGAAGACCTCTTCTGCTACTTCCTGGGACCACTCAGCAGTTTATCAAGAGCTGCATTATCGCTAAGACGAACAATCTCCAATTTCACATCCATGAAAGATCTATATAGGACCAAGGTTATGTTTTTGTTTATCATTGCATCAGAATTTAATATAAAAACATTCTTGGTTTTTATTTCAGGGAACGAAAGTTTACTTGCTTAGATTGACTTAAGCTAGTGCTGTTTAACAAAGGAAGCAGACCTTCCTGAAAATGCAAAAATAGGTACAATACGTACTTGTAATGTGTATTGGTATTGCCTATAACTGTATTTACTATGTTAAGTTATTGCTAAAAAAACATTAGATCTGAGAATTTACAAAAGGTCATATACACTCTAAATGACGTCACCTTTATTTCATTGAATAGTCTTCGAGTCAAAGGTGTCAAGGTTACATTTTTAGATAGTTAAAAATGTCGATATATAAACGACTTGTGGATTTTTTGTCTGCCCATTCTTCATTAAAGTACTTTTTCATTTTACGCTAGTATGTATTATAATCAGTATGTGTACATACAGCAATTAAAGATATGACTTAATAAAGCATATTATACTGACAGCAGAAAACGGTGATCTGATGATAATCATTAAAATTTTTCGTAAAATAGAAAATATCCCAATATATGCAAGATGCAATTTACTTTTAAGTAATGTTAACACGCAACTTATTTCAATCAGAATGCAAAAATGACTTCTTAAGTTTGTAATGAAAAGAAACGCTTAAGATTCGGAGGTTAATTGTTGTCAAGCTGCTTTTATGTTGTAAATTTTTAATTTACTAGGTGGAGGCAAATACAAAAATGTACAACATGATAACTTGTAATAATGGTGTAAATTTTGCATGTACTTCCACCTCTGTCAGTAAATTTATATTCTTGGCATCTGCAAAGATACTAATAGTTTTTATATTATCATATGTAACAATGCATATTCACAGAAAATGTCCATGAAATAATTACGTTTGAACATAATAAAATAATTTAATAATAATAATAATAATGATAAAATGAAAAAGTAATAATTGAAGTTGCATAAGTTGCACGTCAACATACATGTAATAAGAAACTTGCATGACGACACAAATGCATGTTAATTTTTGAGTGCAAAAAGGTCAAATAATTGAACATGCGGAGTAATTTGAAAATTTCTTCGTTGGCACAAATTTTAATGTATCTATTTAAGATGAAATGAGACTGTGTTTGTTCCAAAAATTTATTTGAACAAAAAATATTGGGGGAGAATAATTTGAAATTTTTTTTCTATCTCTGTATATCAATTAAATTACCATAGACAATGTCGACATTGCAGGTGAAGGAACAGTGATCGATCTCAAAAATAAATAAATAAATAAATAAAAATAAAACAGGGCAATAAACACGGACCCCTACAATTCCAGAGAAAGGATCAGGTGCCTAGGAGGAGTGAGCATTCCCTGTCTTACACACGTCGGCTAGTTCTGTCGAAATGCAATTATATAGATATATGTCAACATGTTTTGGAGTAGCTCCACAATTTTCTCTTCTTCAACACACAGCATGCATTATATTTATATAGTGTATCGACATGTAACTTGTTTATATCGACATGCAACTTATTTTTTCTTTTATTTGTGTATCTATTTATT